ATGCAAGGCATCTACGAAGGATAGGGATTGTCTTAGTCCATGCAAATTGCATTAAATTACTGATAAAAAAACGCGACGATGAATATGAAGACTTCGACAAAGCAACCCTTGCTCTCTGACGTATATATATAATTGTGTTCACACTAGCTAAAGAAAAGAAAGTGAATAAATGATCGATCATTTTAATCCTATTGCATATGGCCATGTGTTGTGTTGTGTTCTTTGTCATACGCCGGTGAAGTGCATGTGCGTCAAACAAAGTTACAAGGGGCAGTAACTTAGGTCAGTATGCGTAAATCCCTATAAACGAGGTATGATCCGGCTGTAGCAACCTCTGACTTAACACACGGTGCGCATCAACAGGTGTCCAGCGCGAAAGTAATTAAAAAGTGTTTTCAAATGCATTCCGATGAATGACGGCATATGCGTCTAAATTTCTAAGCGTTACAAGGTTTAATTAAATAAATCAAAAGTTCTGAAAGTGATTCAGCCTCAGCCAGTAAATTCATCGGAGAATGACTGTAAAAAGGCAAAGTTCTTCCAAGGAGGCTCACTATCATAAACGTCTGTATCCCATTTGCAGATACACCTATAAACTTGTATACGCGAATTCGTGATCACTCCACATCCAACTTGAAGGGGCTGAAAGCGTAAACTCCCATTTTTCAGCTTTATGCGACTGGCGCACTACGAAAGTTACCTAACAATGGTCTGCGGCAGCAAAGTGTCCAGCAGACCCGTCGTTTCCGAAGGTCCGATTGCTTTCGGCCCAACAGCAGAATGTCAACAATAACCTCCATTAAGTGAGATAATCTACATAAAATCACTTGAAAGTTTCATGCAGAAAATTCATTACTCCGAGGAGTATGTGTAGTTAATTCGGCTGAGAACCATCGTACAATTTTGGTCCAATGATACAAATCGTCTGTTTCGCGGTCAGTGAAAAAGACCACTTGCATGTCCAAAACATACTACCTCTTATGCCGAAGAGCAAATATTATCGTGCCTTAATCTCTTTGTTTTGTCAAAAGAAACCAGCATACAAAACCTTAGATGTCACACTTCTAAAGAAAGATACTGTTCAAGAAAGCGGTGCGTGACGACCTCCATGATCTAGAACGTAATACCTCAGAAGAGTGATAAGTCCCAAAGGAAAAGCTTGATTTCATATTCTCTCAGTTTGGTCTACGTTTGGTGATTGCTGTTAAAATCACTGCGGTTAGTGATTGATTCTGATTGAAGACTATCCTGGTCACACGGACAACGTGATATATTCAAGCTGCGAGTTATGGGGTTCTTCAAGACGTTTTCCCTCTACTAAATGGTTTGTCGCTGAATACGGCATACAAAAAGCGGGAGCGGAAGACCTCAATTTTCCACAACTCATAATAGTGTTTAAAGATTTTGCTTTTTCTCAAACCAAGGCCCAGACACTTCCTCTAAATTGAGGGACCTAACTTCAAACCGCCTGTGATGGTAACGTGTGATACGTGGCTGTCCTCATTCGAATAATCTTGCTCGTCTTATTCCCGGGGATCCTTATGAAGGATTACGAATGTAGAATTTGTATTCTTTTGTGAACTTCTGGTGCTGTCAGTCTTCTGTAGGTGTGTTTAGGGAGAAGCTAACGTAAGTCATATCCTGGACGGTGCTGTGATTTGATAGCAAAATCTTCTGAAACAGAGGAACTATTCTGGGAAAGAAGCAAATTGAGAACAATCTGCCCGTTTTAAGCTGCTTGTGTTAGAAAATTCTCCATTTTTAACTCACGTTACCAATTGTTGTACTGGTTTGCTTCGTGGGAGCCGTCATCGTAAGCGTGCAACGAAACATTAGAACCGGGAAATGATATTCGCTTTCATGAACTAGCGTGCGCGGTGATGATACTCACTTTTAATAGACAGGAAATAATGGGACCGCTCAGACGTATCTCTTCCTTTATTTTGTTTGTCGTCAACCATATTTATGTGGAAACCAGGCGACTAACTTGCAATACTAGGTTTCTGCTTTCTAAGAGAAAAGGCTTCAATTAAGAAAACACGCCCGACCAACTCGTTCTTGTCCTGGGAATTTCCTAATCTAGTAGAAAGCTGCCAGTATCCATGTACCTTGTCCCGACTAGCTATCGGTAATCCAGAATAGTCTGGCACTTAAAAAGATACCGTCTGAAGAAGTAGACGATTACAATTTCGGAGTAATTTAGTTATCTCCCTGAAATGCTAGCCACACGAAATCCACCACTTTTTCAGTAGTGGCCAGTTTATCTCCGTTAATCTAGCAATCTGGCGGATCCACTGAGGTGATCACATGCTCTTCAAGAGCAGAAATGCAATTAGAGATTATTCAGAATTTTCGGTTACTTTGGAAAAGTAACGGAATACTTAAACATAACATTTGTTCAACAGCATTTCTATGAAATATATCCCCATGGCGTCTACTTCGACAAAGTACTGCAGCACACACTGACGATAATCACAATTTGATATACTAGTGCTACGTTGGCCGCATTTTGTCATAACCTTTCGATGTCAACAAAGTTGATCTATCATCAGTGTTATATAAGTTGATCAACAACCATTGGGTGAAATATGTTTACTAAAGTGTTATCTGAGGATATACTGCCACGCTTTATCTAATCCGTAGTCATCCATCTCGGAACTGTGTGATGAATGATGTATGATCATCGATGATCCAGGAATGCATAAAATGTATCGCATCAGCAACAGCAGACCTTACATCAATATTAGTGTGAAGCAAATTAGAGAGCGTGCAAATTTACGACAAATTCATTACCAGTAATGTGCGGTTCACCATTTATTGTACCATCCGCGCATTGTACGTGCCAAAACTAAAATGCTGGTTGATATTGCGGAAGAGTAAAATATCCTCATCTGTGAGCACTTTTCCACCATTTGGTTAATTCTCTTACTCGTAACATCATCAAAGTGAAATATGTTTGGACCAACACAGATAATCGCATATCAGAGGAAAAAACTGACAGAGATTGTCGAAAAAAATTGAAGTACCGTTGCTTCACTAATCAAATCTTTTACAGTGTTCACTATAATAATGTTTACATTAAGTCATATATAAGATAGATAAACAAATAGGCAGAGAGATAGATTAGATAGATAGATAGAAAGATAGGTAGACAGACAGACAGACAGACAGACAGACAGACAGACAGACAGACAGACAGACAGACAGACAGACAGACAGACAGACAGACAGACAGACAGACAGACAGACAGACAGACAGACAGACAGACAGACAGACAGACAGACAGACAGACAGACAGACAGACAGACAGACAGACAGACAGACAGACAGACAGACAGACAGACAGACAGACAGACAGACAGACAGACAGACAGACAGACAGACAGACAGACAGACAGACAGACAGACAGACAGACAGACAGACAGACAGACAGACAGACAGACAGACAGACAGACAGACAGACAGACAGACAGACAGACAGACAGACAGACAGACAGACAGACAGACAGACAGACAGACAGACAGACAGACAGACAGACAGACAGACAGACAGACAGACAGACAGACAGACAGACAGACAGACAGACAGACAGACAGACAGACAGACAGACAGACAGACAGACAGACAGACAGACAGACAGACAGACAGACAGACAGACAGACAGACAGACAGACAGACAGACAGACAGACAGACAGACAGACAGACAGACAGACAGACAGACAGACAGACAGACAGACAGACAGACAGACAGACAGACAGACAGACAGACAGACAGACAGACAGACAGACAGACAGACAGACAGACAGACAGACAGACAGACAGACAGACAGACAGACAGACAGACAGACAGACAGACAGACAGACAGACAGACAGACAGACAGACAGACAGACAGACAGACAGACAGACAGAAGTAGGAGACTGGAGAACTTTCAAACATGATGGTCTATGAGGATATTGCTCTAGAGACACGTACGTCAATGCATTTTGACTATTTATAACAAGGTTTTCCGAAATTTTACTAAACTTGTTCGCTGTACGGCGTTTAGTAAAATCTAGATGAAAAAATGCTTACGAATGTCGACTGTGGAACTTCGTCTTGCGCTGCTTCTCTGTCACGGGATAAAAACGGACGGCATGACATTTGTATACAGTTTGATGGGTTGAACTACGGTTCATGCTGATCACAAAGAAACTGGGGCTCTTCAGCTGAAGTACGGAAGGTTAAACATATAGCCTGCAACACAAGAAAACAAAAAATCAATAGCAGCGCTGCCAGAAGCTCGACGACCATTCGTAAATTGAGTGAAAATATGAGGTGTGAAATCTTTGACTCGAAATACCTCATGTTATTTGGAGAGAACATAATCATATTCCGTCCTGTCTTTTGTGTGGGAATACAAAGGTACTTAGGTTTTTACTTCACTGCTGGAGTACAACCGCTAATAAGTAGAAGACGATATTTCTGAACATGCCCGTCTGCTGAACAGACATGGACAAGCAGTCAAAGATGCGTCAGATTACCGAGTCAATCTCATAAAGAAATGAAGTCAGTCAGCCAGAAGTCGGTATGAAGTAGCGGCGGAACAGAGAACGGGTTAGTCGAAATGTGTTTGGGCATAAGAGGCTACTACGGTTTTTGAAAGGAATCAGCCCGCATAATTGCGATGAAAACAGGAGAAAATGAAACACTTTAACTCATGAGTATTAGTGTAATTAGTGGACTTCCTCCCGCGAACGGGGCCACTGCATACCCACAGATCACTTTTGCAGAGACTATGAAAACGATCATCGAAGGTAAAATACATAAAAATGAACGAGTGTTAAACTGAAATCAAGAAACTGATGGATTCATGTTTATCTTAAGTAAAAGTGGTCATACTTCTATAGGATCGAATTGAGTTCAGTTCCAATAACCTACGGAAACTCAACCGGCACTGAGCTTTTTTATTATTGCTATTGATTCAGTAACATCTTTTCACTTCCTCTATTGCAGTTCTGTAAATTGGATAGTTCCACGAATGACACGGTTATCAGGGATCTGCTCAAACGCAAATGGGGTTTGAAACCTCCAACGCTAATCATAACGGTGTTCGGGACTGATTTCGAAAAGAAAAGAAAACTGAAAATGATTTTCAAGAAAGGACTGTGGAAAGCTGCTGAAAGTGGTGCGTTTTTCTGCGCCACCATCCTTTACCTTTCATCTCTATTCAATTTTTGTCTGCGTTGTGCTGCGCTGTTTTTGAAAGGCACTGACTTTTGGCTTCTTGGGTAGCATAGTTCAATGACTAATACAAGAGAATTAGATTTCCCTTCGGAATATGTTAATCCTGCACCCCCTATCCGGTTATTTCTTAAGATTGACGCCACATCTAGATTATGGGAACTTTGAGCCAGTCAGTTCTTCCTGTACAGTGCTCGATTTCAGTGATCATTTGGTCCCTTATCAACATACGGTAACTGAGGTGTGAATTAGCTACATGTTACCTGAATTTGAATGACCGAAGACGTGAGAAGCAGACAATGTTCTCCTTCGAATTTTGTGAGAAGTGTGAATACTTTGTGGCTTATCCATTCCAAGTAAAATTTTGGCGCAGTAAGTCAGCTCAAATCTCACGAAGAAATTATACCTTTTGCTGTAAACAAGCCTATTCACTCTAGCAACCAGGAAGTTACTAAACGGTAGCGATGAAAATACTCATATATATTTGTATTTTACACTGAAAAGGTCAGTCACTACGACGTAGCGACCAAATACCTGATTGACAGGGAGGCTATTGCGAATAAAGTTGAAATTACCCAGATTTGTAGAATCCGGGGTTCGATTCAGTAAATCAAGATTAATTTCGTTGATTTAAGTTAAAAACCTGATGAAGGGCTTCCTAGGAAATTGTCAAAATACTGACTGCATTTGTTGCTAATTACGTCATCACTTTTTGGAATATTGTCTAAGGGAAGAACAGTATTTTTCTGGAACTGGACTTGATTGGATTGAAACCATAGTTTCGGAGCATTCCCTTACACTTTCATATATGGAAGTCAACATGTTGCTCTATCGTAACCAAGAAGTCATCCCTAAGTGAAGTTAGTCTATGCTGAAAAGCCGAGAAGCAGAGTACAGCTGTTTCACTTTTGTGAGCACTGTAAATCTCAGTGCTTCTAAGTAGATTCGAAATTGTCGCCTTCTGCCTAATTTACTGTGTTCACCAGTAGCTGATCAGCGGACTTCGGTAGGACATATCGTCAACCATCCTTCGATCATGTAATTCAAATCACATGGTCACACATTGACTCGGCTTTTGAGTGGTGACTTCTCCAATGGGGACTCAATCTGTGAGGCTTTCTCCTTTCTAGGCAGATTCAATACATATTGATGATGGTCAGGCGAAATTTCCAAACTGTAGTCCAGATACCACTCTCCAAGGAGCCAATCAGTAATTGACAACGTGATGTGAGCTACGTGGCCGAAGGAAAGGGTGCGATTCCTCATCCACGAACGAGTTAATCAAACCGCTGATCAGCCACCGGTGGTCAAACTGTGATTTGTTCTGGATATAGCAAGTTCCTGTCTCCATTAGAGTGTGAGGTGCGCCCTGCTGTCGAGTCCCAAAGAGTTGGAACAGGTTTACAGGCTCTATAGTCCACACTTACTTCACTTGTGTAAAGGAGACTTGAATGAAATTTGAGCATCCCCCTATACTATCATCAAATTTTAATACTGATGAACAGGATAAACACAAATCTTCAAATATGCTTTCGAAGAGAGTAAAATGATATCCTGGTATTTTCACTTTCCTTTGTTCGCGGCAAGGTTGCTGGATTGTCACCGGTGGTTTTCACTTGGGTATCATGAAACTTACCGGTGAAGCTGTTCGCGACTACACGGATGCTTACGGTGGAAATCGCATGATGGCTTTTGGTGTAGCAAGCTGGGACTGTGTCATGAAAAACGAATTGCTGGAGGCAGCTCTTCACGAGGTAAGGGTCAGATCGTGTCTGACTTATAGTTTTGTCACACTTTTGTGAATGTTTACTAATGCGGTTTCTAGTTCTCATCTATTATTTTGAGTTGAAAATCTCGAAGCCAGTTCTTCTCACCTGAGACTGAAAAGTTCAAGTGACATGGGCTTTTCCATTTAGGAGATTATCCAGCTGGAATTATACCAAGCCTAAATCACAAACAATTAAATATCTTATGTGTTGAATTTCGCTATAATCCACAGTCATGGTCACGGTAGATAAACCAGATACAAGCTAATCAGAGCAGTCTGTTGCAACCAAGTGTTCTTAAGAGTGATGGAGTATGACGACGTAATTTCGTTGTGCCGTTCTTTATGTCATCATCATCACCATTACCATCATCATCAGCGTCATTATCATCAGCGACAGTAGCCAAGACACTCAATGATATTGCTGTGCGGCTGTTTGCGTGCCTCAGTAAGCCATTGGGCTGTACTAGGGGAGGCTCATGCATCATCCACACAATCTCCTCTGCTAAGTTGGTCAATGAATGGAGGTCCGACCCCCAATTTTAAAGACTGGAACCACCGGTAATTTATTCCTTAAAATTCGGACAACAGAGTGATCTCAAACCCACCACTGCTGCACTGTGATCAAGTTTCCAAGCAAAACGCTTTGAATGAGGACCCTTACTAACCTCTTATCTCTGTTTTTTCGCCCTCAGATTCACAGATAAAAGTATTTGATGCCACACTGGGCGTCGTGATTTTTTTAAACTAAACGATATCCTATTTGGTAACAACCATAAATGACTCGTTTTTGTTCAGCGTGCTTTTGTATATTAGGTCATTTAGCAAAAACCAATGGAATAAAATCACCTTAAAATTCCTAATAGTTGATTGGGATTTTTAAACAACGTACTCGTTAAGGTCTCTCTACACTCTAAGCGAACACTACCCATAAATTAAATATAAGTATTCTGTTATGACGAATTCTGTATTGCCCATATTATTATTATTGCTTTTATCATTAATGCTCATGAATCAGACGCAAGAAAGCCGTGTGTATATTATGAGCGCATTATTACACACTGCTTTGCACCTTTCGTTTTTAAAGTTTCGGCGTTTCCAGGTCAGTATCTTACACTTATCTACCCCACACTTTTCTTAGGGGACAGCAGTTTATCAGTCCGAGGAAGATGATGAAGAACAAGAAGACAGCGTTATTGCCTTGAACGAGCCAACACATGACGGGGAGAAAAAGACAGTACGGACGGATATTGAAGAACGTGCTCTTGACCCAAATCACAATTACTTCGTTCTTGTGGACAGTGGAGTTTCAGATCAGGCCAAGGGGAAAGAGGCGGAATGCAGAGCCCGGTTTGAAAGGTGTATTTCCCAGTGGAGTGGAGCCAAAATTGCCCTTGACCAAAGTGGGGCTGGAGGAGCGGGGGCTGCGACAACTCAGTCTGGAGGGATCACATCAAGTACACATCTGCAGGCAACACAAAGTTCTTCACAGACAGGAAGCAACGTCACAAATCAGTCCAACGTTACGTTACAAAGAGAGGGCAGCGCAAGTGGGCCAGCAGGGCAGCAAAGTTCCACATCGGTAAACAAAGGGTCGAAGGCTACGGGGGGATCATCCACTACATCTGGGACCCAAAAGCCAGGAAATGAACAGACTGCTCCGGGTCAAGCGGCTTCAGGGGCGAAACAAGCTGGTGAAAAGAGCCTGTTAGATCTGAGTGGTAAACTTCAGAAGACTGGAAAATCGGTTGGCGGGGAAGAAGACATATTGGTGCCAATGTGCGGTCTCGTGGTTGGAGGCGATCGCTTCACGGTCCGACAGGTCTATTGCTCAGTTATCCAGAACCGATGTCCAATTGTTGTGACCAAAGTAGGTGATAATATGAGTGACTTGTTAACGTAATTTTCCTCAGCGTGGTTCAAGCAGTTCATACAACCTGGCTGCATGAATTAACTGGCTGTTATGACGTGTCATGTTCCAGTACTTTGGCGGTATTGTTAAAGTTTTACTTCGAACGATTAGAAAAGCACACACGTAACCGCTATCTAGACTTATGTGTTCAAGGAATGTTGGCCTGTGAATCGTAGAGAGACTTTTTACTTAATCTGCAATAGTTTCGGTCACGCGCTTTGTATTTACTCTTTAAAATACGCCGCGAGGTTATCATGTTTTTCGATAATTTCAAGCTCATATATTTGAGATCATACTCATTATTCAAAAGTGAACTAGAATTTCATAAACACGTCCTGTCACGTTGATTGGCTGTTTAGCCCCAATATAAAAAGCTAATTTTCATTTATTTATATTTTATATTCTTATTTTATATTTTATTTTTATTTAAATACTGAGGCTAGACACCCAATCAATGTGACAGGATGTGTTTATGGAATTCTAGTTCACTTTTGTATGATGTATCATCTCACGAGCTAAGCTCAGGGGCTCAAATGGATTACATCTAACTGTATTAGTGCCCCTAAAAAGCTATTTTCATTTATTTATATTTTATATTCTTATTTTATATTTTATTTTTATTTAAATACTGAGGCTAGACACCCAATCAATGTGACAGGATGTGTTTATGGAATTCTAGTTCACTTTTGTATGATGTATCATCTCACGAGCTAAGCTCAGGGGCTCAAATGGATTACATCTAACTGTATTAGTGCCCCATGTTTGAGGCATTCTAATACGCATGATGCCTAATACAAAAACAAATATGTAAACAAATTTTATCAATCAACTCTCTCAATTTTGAAATCTGAAGGATTCATACGGCCACGTCTATTGGTAATTTTGGCACCAACTAACGTGCCAGTACGAGACACTCGACAAAATACCACAATGCAAAATACCTACCAGCGGAGTCACTTACTTAGTGTTGAAGCACTGCAAGTCATTTTGTTGACGAATGGTTGGACATGGCACCAAGTACAAGACACAGAGTCAAACTTAGGATGTTGCGTTTCGAGCAACTGTCTTCCTATTGGCTTGTTTTCGGTGACACGACCTTCCGCTCCTCCTGTTATAAACCAGTGTGACAAGTTTTGTACGCTACCTTAAACTGATGTCTCATCTCTATAGAACCTCTTTCACTAGTCTAGCGATCAGTGAACTGAGTTTGCGCATAAGATTTCACAGTATATCTTAGCAATTTTCATAAGCGATTGCACAGATTCATATTGTAAAGCATATTTCTATGACTAGAAAGAACCCAGGATGGTCTCCTGGGTCCACACGGGATGCTGTTTACAGTAGCTTGTGCAATTAGATCACATCGGTTGATAGTACGGACCGGGTGCGATAGGAGCAAGGAAATCAAAGCAACCTCAAGTGTCACTGTATAATATGCTAAGCAACGTGTGGGATGAGTGTTTTTGTTTCCATCAGTGGACATTTTTCAAGGCAGTATGAAGAAGAGAAAATCACCAAAATGTATCGATTATTGATTGGAAAACCCATGGCATCCATAGCAGTTCACAGTGAGAATACGTTCATAATGCACCCGTAGTATGAACGAAGTAAAACTCCCAGAGTTGGAGAGAAGCAGCTGGGACTACAGCTTATCTGATGGATGCTCCGTCAACCTGGATAAAAAGAAGGATACTTTTCATTACACAACTGCACTTGAACTTTATACACAACTCTGAACAAATCGGTCGAATGGAATGTGTAGTCATCAAGCTCTTTCTTTGCTTTCCGGAATGCCTGATAAGTTAATGTCCTCCATATTCCTAACGGGCATCTGTGTGATTTGAGAAAAACGTAGTCGGTTACTTTGTGAGTACAATCCTATCATTTAGAGAACTTTGGCGCTTGATTCCATGAAAAGTAATCATAAGCGTTAAGAAGACGTAAACAACCTGAGTAATCCAGCTTTGTACACCGTTCTGTAGGTCAACACGTGTGTGCATATTGGTCTGAGAATGTCGCTCTGCTCCAAACACCACCTAAATTGCGGATGCAAAGGAGATTACTTAGTTCATATGAAAAAACAGCTTATGCGACTTCCAGAATAGCGATGAACCTAGTGAAGTAAGCAGAATTTCAAGCTCTGAATTGTTGAATTTCAAGCTCTATACACTGCACACACAAAAAAAGTCACGCAGGTAGCATCAAATGACGTGCTTTTGGCGTTTCTATGCTTCTGCACATCCCACATTTGCGACAAAAATTTGATCCAATTCACTATCACGCCTCTGAACTTTTGGTTTATCATACATGGTTTAGGAGACGAGGCGGCTCAAGTGGTCAGAACGCGAATTTAAGGACCGGAAGGTCTGTGAGTCAAACCCGACCTCTTCCTCTCAACTTACCCTCTCTAGGCTTGGGCAACCTGGCAGTATCCTAGCCCTCGGGCTTTTTTTGGGTAACATGGCAGCTAGACACCGAAAAGTTGTTACAGCAGAACGATTATTTTATATATGCGATATATATAACTTTTTATATATATAAACGACATTTTCTACATGATTTAATCCGTTTCCTAAAATTCCGAAGTAGATTTCGTTCACTTAATACTTACGATCCCATTAGAATTCATTGCTTGGCTAGAATATATATATATATATTTATATATACATATATATATATACATTTTCTAGCTGGCAATACAGCGCAATCACCTGTTCGTCGAATGTCTCTTATAGGACGAACTTGGCCACCTGAAAATCTCCCACGGCTTCAAAAAGTTTACCAAATCAGTCAAATAACATAACTAAATTTATCGAAGAAGTATGTCCTGTGTGAATGAATCTGCACTACTTTCGTGGCCAATAAGCGTTTTTTGAATGCCAAAGTTGACGGAGGCGATGTTTGTTGTCTGTAGCTTTCCATTTTACACACTGATCAGTCTCTTAGTTTTTGCGCAGAAACAGCGGTGATAAACCCCTCAGTTGATTCCATATCGGAACAAACACGTACGAATATTTTTATAGGGCACTTCAGGAGCGGCGGACGTTATCGCGTTCGGGCTGGACGCCGCAAGCAAAATGGCGACAGAAGAGGTTGTGGATGACAAGGAACCCGTTCCACTCGAAACCAGGTTGGTAAAAATGATATGAAAATAAACTTGTTTAAACATACGGTGGTTAACGGTGAGTTTAGTGCCAAGGTGCCAAATGGTTTTGATAACTGCTTTGCAAAATGCTTACGTTCAGTTAGGACTGATATGAGCGTGTTCGCTTTCGGTTGAACTCAGCGCGTGCTAGACACGTATGCGCGCAAAAATCAGTGCTAAAGACGTACGGCTGCAACTGATAGGCAGCTGACACCCATGCGATTTGTGAAGCAATATTTTACCACCACCCCCCCCCTCCCCAAGGGCAAATTAGTTAGGCATTTTTGATCTGCACGTAAATACCGCGCCCACAGGTGTGCAGGCGGCCTGGGATGCAAATAAATAAAATTCCATGGAAAATGTATGCGGTATTCTCACTCAAATCTCAGGTGAGCTTTACTAAAGGTAATCACCAGTGCCCATAAATGTATTTTACGTACACTGAAACCGGGATATTCTACGATTTGTTTGTCCATTCATAGGGTTCTCAACTCAACCACAATAGTGTAAACCCCGAGAAGATGATATCTCTCTGGTCCCACTCATTCTGTTTGATGACGGTGTAACCTGTACACCCGTTTGATGGCAAGATTTGAGGGTTTACGATAGCCTGGAAAGGTTTGTTTGATTATGCAAGATAGATGGGCTTTCTCTATCCATCACGACGGAAAAATCGCGCTGACGGTGAATATGTTGATACTTGGCCTCACTACTCATTCATTTCACTGAGCTAATATAAGACAGTCACCAAACACCAATATTGGTTTTTGCCACTGACAAGTGCACATTCATACACGGGCTAAAGCAATAATCCAGGTTCGCTGGAGGTCTCTGCTAAATAGCCGGGTCAGAAAACGCACTGTTAAGTCATGGCCTTGGTGCATACCGTTGACGATTGTAACACACAATTTAATCAATCGTTTCAATCTATTCGATACGGTTACGTACAAAATACCAAAGCTATCTAACCGTGACCGGTTAACCCACTTGAACGATGGGGAGATCCAGGATTAACAGACATTCGAGTAATGGCTGTACTGTTGCCCGAGTACGATATGGCAAGGGTGCCTGTGTGACGATTCCGTTGGCTCCTTTTGCCTTATGTCGGCTTGGTTTCCTGCTATGTTGCCAAAACTATACTCAAATGAGAGCAGCAGAAACGTGATTCTAAACAAGCTCTAAAAACATAAGATGCATTAGTGTTAGCATGCTCCAAAAACCGTAAGTTATTACTAAACCTTATTCAAGCTGCGATGTGAGATCTCTCGGTAAAATTCTAAATATGAACCAGTAGGGATTTTGGTAAATATATAAACATATCTTGATTTCAAGTTAAGGTGCACCACAAGAGGTTTTAATCTCAAGCATTAAACTCGAATATTCTTACAGAACAACCTAAGGAGATATAAAGTCATTTTTCGAATTTAGTTGAGACGACTTAGATATTCTTTGGGTAGTCCCAGGAAGTCTACCGATACATAGATCTAAGAATATTTCTAACGTGAAAATGTAAGAACCAACGGAAGTAAATCTTAGATAGAACTGAACGAACCGGTAATTTGACAAAAGACGTGTTGTCTTCAAAACTAAACCCTAAAAGTGCTATTATAACAAATAACCATGATGAAACCCGCAGAAAATTGATCATATAATCCAAAAGGCAATAACTTTGGAAACTTGAAGGAAAACCCTCAGAATCTGAAATTTCCGGGTTGTCATATCTTTGCAGATATTTCCTATCCTTCAGGCTTGAATCGTCCAAGCATAGATATAACCGTACCATACTACCTTGTAACGTCCCTGCAACATGCAGGCACACCCATACAGGTACTTGCAAATGGTGCAAATGGGTCAAAAGTTTTCTTATGAGTTTGATAGCTTTTCTCTCAAGCCATCAAAGGTTGGCTTCTTTCATGAGTCACTACATATAAAAAACTTGGGGACTGCCGGATGTTAAATCAAGGTAAATCAAGGTAAATCAAGGTTATATTGGTCTAAAAAGCATTTTACTTTACAATGACCAAAGGATATTGGTGTGTGTGTATGTATACAGATAAACGGAATGATATGACATATATGTTCTATTTTTTGTAATCTGCATCTCAAATGTTGATGAGGGAAGTTGGGTGAGATCTTATGTATTCGTCAAGCGAATGTTTGAAAGTCTCGAGGTTACCACAATCCACAACAGATGTTGGTAGTTTGTTCCACGTGAGGGATACGCGGACTGAAAAAAAGTAGCGCCGACAGTTAATGCGGGAACATGGAATGTCAACGGCCAATGGATTCCGTCGGGTCTGTCGGGCCAAATTAACTGTGAACAAATGTTTTAAAGGGTGATTAGGGGTGTTTATTATCTTGAACATCAGGATGAGGTCTCCTCGTATACGCCGATAAGTTAAATCAAACAAATCGAGTTTACGTAGCCTTTCACTGTAGGGAACGTTTCGGAGGCCAATGACCAGCTTGGTCGCGCGGTGGTAGATACGCTCTAGCAGTTGTGTATCCTTTTGCAGCCATGGAGACCAGGCTTGGATCGCGTATTCCATTGTCGGCCGGAGATATGTGTTCATGATAATAGGGAGAATTTCAGGCGTAAAACGATAAAATATTCTCCTAAGCATCCCGAGCAGTGCCGAGGTCTTGCGATATACTGATAGACAGTGTTTACTCGGCTTCAGGTTGCTAGAAATCCAGACGCCGAGGTCTTTTTCCTCAGCCACCCATTCCAGTTCATTGGATCCCAGTTTGTATGGGAAGTGGTAGCTCTTCCCCAGATTTATGAGTTTGCATTTCTGGAAATTCAGCGGCAGCCGGTTTTGGATGGACCATTCGTCGATTCTTTGCAGATCTTGCTGTAGCGCATCACAATCAGCCTTTCCATGAATTTCAGACCAGATTTTTATGTCATCAGCAAAAAGTACGGTTTTGCACTGCAGAAGTTTCGGCAGGTCATTCATGTATACCAGGAACAAAATTGGACCAAGAACCGAACCCTGAGGGACACCACTTGTGGCGGCAATTTTATCGGAAAACGCTCCATCGACACGAACTTGGACCGAACGGTCACTCAAATAGTCTTTCAGCCAGCTCAACAGATTTCCCGTCACGCCATACATTTCAAGTTTCCGAAGAAGGATACTGTGATCGACTCGATCAAAGGCTTTGGATATATCCAAGTAACAGGCATGTACAGTAACTCCCGCATCGACTGCTCGTGTCCAGTCATCGAGTGTCACGAGGAGATTGGATAAACAAGAACGATTCTGTCGAAATCCGTGTTGTTTATCGCTCAACAAGGAGTGAATTTCAAGGTGCGATTTCAGGGCTTCTGCTATAATTCGTTCCATTACTTTTGATATTACTGGGAGAAGAGTGACAGGTCTGTAGTTAGATGCACACGTTCTGATACCTCCTTTGAATATGGGGGCTATTATCCCGCATTTCCAATCCTCTGGTACCAACCCTTCTTCCAGAGAACTAGCGAACAGTTTAGCCAGAGGATAGCTAAGTGGTTCAGCGCAGTGGCGCAGAAGCAGTGGTGTAACGCCATCCCCACCAGGTGAAGTGTGTACCTGTAAGCCGCGAAGGTGTTTGACAATGTTAGCCCGATCAATATGCACGTCCGATAAAGTTTCGTCCGTTAGTACCTCCACAGTTTGTATAGGAGCGCGGGTATCTTCAGGAGAAAACACGGAAGCATAAAATGTGGCAAGGGCATTAGCTGTTTCAAACGCATTTGCAGTCATTCCCGATTCTGTCTTTATGGCAGATATACCTGGTTTAACTTTAGCCTGCGCATTCACGAATTGATACAATAGTTTGGGGTTTTTCTCCATCCTAGTCATCAATTTGAATTGCTGTTGTAGTTTGTCTTCCTTGATTAGTGACGTGACTTTATTCCGCAACTTTCGGTACGACTCCCAGTGTTCGTCGGTCCGGTTCGTTTTATATTGAAACCAAGCGATGTTACGTTCTGTAATCCATTTTCTTGTTCGACTCCTCACTGTGAACATCTGTACGCAGGTGGCTCGAGGCACCTCTGTCGAATTGTCTGCAATCAAGGTCTGCAGCTGGGCTATGAATGATTTCCATCGCCTATTAGTATTTTCGTGTTCGTCATCCAGCATATTTAGGTCCTGGAAGGCTGAGATTATCTCCCGAAAATTGGTCTTCAGAACATATTTATGTGGGTCGCTTAAACGTACGGAGGAGCAAGTGAAATCGAACAAGAGCACGAGATGGTCGCTCTTTCCCAGTGGTGGTCTATATATGATTTGTTCAACCATAAATGGCTCACTAGTTAGTATAAGGTCAAGTAACGAAGGTTGATCTGTTCCACGAAACCTCGTACATTCGTTAACATGGTTGAATAAAGGTACCAAATCTAACAGCTCCTGAAAGTGTGCTTCAACTGAGTTGAGCGAGTATGAAGCGACGAAAAGCTGGGGAAAATTGAAATCACCCATAATGAGAATGGGAATGGAGTAGTAAGAGCATACGCGACGGATTCGGTCACATATACTGAATGTGTGAGTGTCCATTGCGGTTGGAGAGCGGTAAATGACACCAATAATGCACGCATCTATCTTGTTTGACTTCAGCATACACCAGAGGGTATCTTCAAGGATGAGATTAGCGTCAGGTATTTCAGCACATTGAAGACTACTGTCATAATATAGTGCAACTCCACCGCCATGGGTGGCTCGATCGTGTCGTATAACACTCATGTTTGTAATTTCGATTTCCTTGTCCGATATTTCCGCTTGCAACCAAGTCTCAGTCACTGCCACCAAGTGAGGTTTGTATTGGTCGCAAAAGGCGTTTAATTCTGCCACTTTACTGGGCAGACATTGGGTATTTGTATAGAGGCACTTAAGGCTAGTCGTTGTGGTTAATTCTGCTGTGCTGCAACGCACGACTCCCGGGGAGCCAGCAGTGATTCGTTTTTTGGTAAATCGTTTTTTGACCCCAATTTTTCCATCATAGTCTGAATACCAACCGTGGTTTGTTGGTATTCATCAGTGATCGTTTGCGTTTGAATAGTTCCTATTTCGCCAGTCCGAATCGTATCAGCAGATGCGTTTGAGCGTTTAGGTGAGCTTATTCTCAGTTCCCTCGGAAGCAAATTACGGTGCCTTCGCCACTGAGCTTTCACCAAGTTGGCCATTTCGGCACGAAGAAATGTCAGCTTTAAGGGTCTAGGGCCGTTTCCCATGTATTTTTCCGATTTAGGAATTCTGAAAGCATCAACTACTGCCACCTCTTCCGTTTCGAGCGTACTACTCAGAAACTTCCACTGTAGAACGTCATGTGAAATGCGTGCCGTTTTATCGGAGGCATCGTCAATCTCAGGGACACCCAGAATGATCAAGCTCCGATCATCAGCACGATTATTAGTCGCTTGATTTTCGACATTACGAGATCGTTCTGTCCATGGTACGTCAGCATGAACTCGCGCGCTATTTTCCGAATCGCTCTGGAGTCGAAATGCTGACAACAGTATATTTTCTAATTCTTTTTCTGTCTTAACAGTTACTCTGAGAAGTCTGGGTTTGTCTTGATGATGCGATTTCGGCGGTCGGCTCAGGCGAGTCAGCGAGACTGGTTCGATGGGATCAAGCTGTATTCGATTGCACAGCTTTAACCATTCTTCCATATCGTGCTTATGCTTAGCCGATAATAGTGAGTCGCTTGGCTCCTTGATATTAGTGCATATTACGCTTAGTTTAGGTTTCGGTTTCAGTTTCCTAGTATGGTCGGTAACCTTCGATGCGGGGCAACCGACAATTCCCATGTTCTTGTGTATACTGTTGAGTTCCGCTGGCTCAGGTTCAGTAACATTCGTCTTTTTTGTCTTGGTGCTGTTTGGTCTGGTTTCCTCAACAGTCCTCGGAGTGCAAGCAGCGTCTGCCATTGACCTAGATGCCTTCGCTGATTTTACATCAGTTGTCTGGTTAACTAGGGGCAGCAGAAGCTCTCTGAGTTCTTGTATTTGTTTTTCCAAATGGGATATTTTATCCTCCGTCTCTCTGTTTGCTCTAAAGCCCATAGTGGTCGGTATATCTACTTGGCCAGTATCGACATTGGAGGCTCTACACATAGTGCATCGATAACAGATAGATGGATGCTTTGGGTCATTAATCATCTGAGCGCTCAGATCAGTCAGGGTATTGTCACAACGCGCATGCACCAGTAATTTGCAAAATGCACAATTAACTACGGTGGTGTCTCGACTTACCGGGCCTTGGCAAACAGCGCAATGACCGTGAGGTGATTGTTCCATGATTGGATGAGTCAAGGTCTCGGTCGGGTTTGGCACGGCCGTGTTCTTTGTGTGCGCAGCGGATCGCGTTGCGCGTTTGCACGTGTTGGTCGGTTGGTTCGACGTATGCGTGGGTGTGGACGCTTTGCGGTTCTTTGTCGGCCTGGTCGCCTGCATCGGGTGAGCGGATCGTGTGTGCGGTTTCGACACTGGCAGGGCAAGTGGGGTAGCACGTAGGACGAATTTCGGCGGATGTATGAAAGCTGGTAGCTGGCGTAATACTTCACCGATCTTAGTGAAATTTGCTGCACTAGATAGAACTCGTCGTCAGCTTTCTTCTAGTGTAGAAACGGGATAACGGCCAATAAAACTGGGTATACTTGTACGCGTGGATGTGGAGGCCGCGTACGTTGTAAATCCGTTAGTCGTGAACACCGTGAAAAATTTTCACAGATGAATATAGATGGTATATTCCAATAGATCTCCCAAAGAGAAATCGAATGGTATGTCGGTGAGCGTTGTAGGACAAAATAGATCCGAGAAAACCGTATCGGAGTCGGAGCGCCAAAAGATGCGACTGCACAGCAGGCTGTGCAGGCTGTGGACAACTTTGTATTGTCACAGGCGGGATAGCGCATTACACATCGTTCACAGTCGGCTTAGTATACTAAGCTGGCTAACTTTATTAAGGAAATTAGCATGTACTGCAATATGGTGAAAAAAAAATCGATAATGTGAAAACCGGAAGGAACTTCAGTTTGCCCGTACCTCGGAGTTATCCGTCAGAAATGTTAATAAAACTGCCTGTGTCCACAACTTACCTTTGCTGTGGGGCTTCCCCTATCAAGAATGAAACTTTGGTCCAGTTGCAGAATTTTACATGATGTCTGAAAAGACTGCGCTACTTCATTCAGTGAAGAACCCTTCTCAATAGATGGTACCATTTTTCAAGACGAACTGTGATAATCATCCAAGAAATCACAATTACCGGACGAGATTATTTCATCCGGATGCAGATAAAGCTCTTGAGATTAGCTAAGTCCACAATGTTATCTGTTATGAAGGAAGACAGGATAGATATATTGATCTACATTCATATTTTGTTCGACAGCTAAAAATTTCCTGATCAGACTCCAAGAAGTATGTAACGATAGGTTGTTATGAAAATGGCCATGTATGAGTACGTTGCATCTTCTTCTACTTTCAAGATAAAAGATTCTTGCCTGCAAAACAATACGTGTTAGATGACCTCTGGTTGGGATTTTTCCAGCTTTGGTATTTGGATGAAAGTGCCTTGTCATGTTCAATTTTCGATATCGAAGCAACGATTAGGCTCACTCGCACATCAAAAGCTGCGCTTAGGTTTTCACATCCAAGAACAAAATTGCAACAGCCTAAAACGCAATGAAATTTAGTTATTTTCCTACTGGTGTCCTTGAAAAGCTTCAGTGGCATTATGACATCATGCTCCAATAACCTGAAAAGCCTGTATAAAATCGCAACGCAATAACAAGACACCAAGCACATAGTAGGCTGCAGTTTACTGTGCGTGATTCACTAAAGCTTGGGAAATGCCCTGTTCAAGATGATGCGTAGTTGTCAAGTGTGAGAACGTTTTCTGAGCATTCTAAGTGCCTCTGAAAGCTTGAACTTAAACCGTAGGAAGTTTTTATACACCCCACAGTGCACTAAGCGTGCTTTACCGGTTAATAAGTAGTTAGCAGAATAGTGCATGAACATGAGCTGCATACTGACACACACACCAGAGACAGCGTGCGTTGAACAGATGTGAGAGCACATGTTACTGATAATTTAGTCAGGACACCTATATTTTCGTTAAAATGTGACTATAAGTTTATTCTTGCCGTAAACTATTACACAAATAAGATTGATGGACGCATAGATCTAAGACAAATATCATGTAACTTGTTCACATGTTATTACGCTTTTTCGTGGTCCTTTTACCAGAACTTCTTCGGATAGCACAAAATATCTTCATAACACCTGATAGGCTCGTTCCACAGAAAGGCTGTAGTGAAATAATACGTTTTGCTCCCGGATAGGTCCAATATGCTGGCTCAGATTTTGTTATGCACAATGGCGAGCGCTTCCACGATTACGAGAATGGTCCGTAACGCGGGAATACGATGATCTCCGAGTTATATTCGTACGAGGCTCTCGTGGTATAGATTCCCGAAGCATCGTGTGTTATCCACAGTTTATTTTGTACATACCCCACCCATGGATCTGATTTGATGTGCGTGAATGATACAGTACCGAACTACTTAGTTACGCCCATGGATGCCACAATAAACTAGCAGGTGACGGGTGAACTGTTGGGTACGTCGGCATTTAAACCTCATACAGTGATCATTTTCTAAATCCTCGACTATGGCGATCGACATTTGGCTTTAAAAATCAAACGTCAGAACTGCTTTGCTGCTCTGTGAACAATAGGCGAACTCTAACCCCGTGTAATAGTCCCTCAATTGTCTACCAATCCTCGTTCAGAATCGAATCCATAATTGAAGAGTTCCTCGGTGATATGCACCCAGATTACACAAGCTACACTGAGGAAGTGAATATGCTTTGTGAGATCATCAACGATTATAGCAATTTGGTCACCGTCTTCGATATGGAGGAGGACTCGGACCTGGATGGTTACGTGATATCATCGCTTCTGGCCAGTGGTGAGTTGAACCGTTGTGCGCGTTACGGACGCTTAGGGCATTACCTTTAATTAATCGCGACCTGTTTGTTGATAATGGATCGTGGGCTAGTATTTATCTCTTCAAGGGTGGATAAAGTAAACGAACGTCGTGATAAGATCTATCACAATGAAAACACAGCCTGTTAAATATGTACTCCATAGTTCACTCGAATAAAGTCTTTTACTGTAAATGTTTAATAAATTCACTAGTCCAGGAAGTCGAAAAAATATACAGTTCATTTATTGGAAACTCTTAGCCTTAACAGTAACACAATGCTCAGATAAACAGAATAGTTAGCAAAACCTTAGCAGCCACCTTACGGAATCCTATGCGATATGAACTCTGAAAACATTCGGTCCTAACACTGGAACACCGAAGTCTCACTGATGGGATTTTAACTTCCAGATGCCTGCTTCCTTTCGAATTAGGGTGTCAGACTCACCGTAACCTATCCGAATTCCATTGGAAACCCGTAGTTGGCTAACGTCTGATAACTCGGATTTCATGAAACCTTGTGAAAACAAGGTCATAAGAAATGATGCATTGTAATCGGGATCTGCACACCTGAGCGGTGCTTTGGATTTAACCAAATAATCGTAAGCCGTGGATAGGTAACACATCCCCCAAAGCAAAGGCGGACCTTGTCCATACGAGCGGCACTGAATCAGGCGGCCGCTACAGCCTTCTTACCATCCATTGCCTTATCGAATATGTTGGCAAGGCTTTTTTCACAACACCTGGGAGATTGCTAGGGTTGCTAGGCTTTTCCGACACGGGGCTTGTGAGATCAATGCAGCCGTTCCCCCCTCACACAACTATGGGCCAAACTGGAGGGCTCGTTGGGCACACTTCGGTAAAAGGATTTTTTGAGGAGCCATTCGCCGCAACCTTTTTATCCAACCAACCTACAGTTGTGAGTTAAGTTTGCGTTTGCGTTAACATTTCAACGTGATGACAGGGCAAGTCCAGACGCGCCCTACCTGCAACATCAGCAAACTTCCGGTAGGTGATATAAAACACTCGACGTTTCTGTGCAGAGTGGGCTTTACGGAGCTGGGACAATGAGCCAAAATACACTTGTGTACTCACCAGTGGCTGCGATTACTAGGTGATGTGTCATCTAAGGAATGCAGGTCTGGTTTGTGGATCGCAATATCACTGGGCCGCTCAAAGGGTCGTTTTCAACTTATAGCATAAAAGCAGCACGATAAGAGTACGTCAGCTGCTACGTTTACAGCATGGCGAAAAAGTGATAGTAATTCACTGAGAAGTGGTGAAGCTTAAAACTTTTCAGTGGGAAACGTTTATCGGATTTTGCTTTTATTTCAACGCACTAAGGATAATTTCGCAAAGTGCTGTGAGCGAAAGAATTGCCAACTTTCGCGTGCATACAATGAATAAACCATAAAATGCGAAAAATCCGGTATTTACATGGAGGTAGGCTAAAATTCTACTTTTCATCTTACTTTTTGGTCCAACTGGTCACTTCGTGACGCACCGTGCATATTGTGTCACGGCAAACAATATAAATTTTTAAATTGCGGTCCTTGGTAAATACCGAAACACTGCCATGCAATCCTCAAGTACATTCGAGTACAATACCGCATTTGTTGAGGTATGGAGGGTGAACACTAAGCCAGCTCCGCCACTGAGTTGAACTGACAGACCTTAGTCGCCCAACAGCCGACTGCAATGCGCAGCCAGGTAAACATGCATATATTTGGAGTGTTCATTCGCTTGTGGCACTGGGTATTGTTACAGAAACGAGGGATCATGACTGACTGTATTCTTGTGTAATCCGAAGATAGTTCCGTTCGCCTGAAAACACCAACGTAGACAGTCAAGCAATGGTTTTGTACGTTTTAATCAAAGGGCTACAATACAAAATAATGCTAGCCGTTAATATTTGCAAAAAGGAGCTTCATAAGCGCTTCAACTTCGGTCAGCTTAGTAGAACGACCAGTCTAGAAAGAGATTCTCCACATTTGGACTTACTTCGTACTGTTTCTAAGAGGACCGAGTAACATGCAAATGCATTCCGCTGTGGGGAGTACAAGATGTATTTGCTACCGCTGTACGGGAGTGTTGTTAGAGTGAACTGGTTTACGACAAGCGACTAAACGTTGTACCAAATCTATCTTGGGATACACCAAGATCGGCAATTTAATACCCCGTACTATTTGGTCGAGTTTTCATGAAGTGATCCAGTAACTTTTGCAGATGGCCTGGGGCCAAAATATCTATGGAAAAATGTAGTCCATTTTTGTCCGAACCCCAATAATTAGCGGCATTCGGAAGATTGAATTATATTGCCTATCCATGTATGAAAGAAGGCATGCTTCCTACGGGAACATGCGAGCAAAACTGACGAACTTACACGTTACTTGTTTTGTCCCCGTTCAGCTGGATCTATTGTGGCATCCGACCAAATAAATTTGGAACAGTTGGAGATTACTCTAACACTAAACCGGGCGGATATCGCGAGAGAAAAGATATTTTTGGAAAACAAAAAGTGGAGGGTAAGTCAACCGATTCGTTTTCTTCCAACAGCACTGTTGCTCATCCATGTCTCTTTAAGATAGTTAATTTTCTTCGAAAGGTAAAATACCATGGCAAATAAACATGCGACTGTACTATAGCGAATTTTTCGGACGAACTAATTTCCAATAATGTATACATCGAACATATGGTCCATAATCCTAGTCAACGCAGACCCGCTGCTAAATCCCAGTTTATACTTTCCAAACAAGCAAGCAAATGAACGTCTTGCCCCACCATGTACGCCCAAGCACGAACGGATAACACTCCTTCTCAAATATATAATTGTACGCTTATTATTAACACTCCTTTGGAATGAATTCCCGCTAGTAAGCAACAACAAACTGGGCAAGATAGTAACCATTTTTTAAATTAAATGGTTCTTCATAACAATTAATTCAAATGTGTCAAAATCAATTCATCCGTAAGAATCGATTCAAATAACGTCATCATTGTACTCGTGCATAGTGGTTATTTTGCTACCGCCGGACATAGCACCGGCTGACTACTGACTCAGAGTGCACAGCAGAGAACGCTTCTTCAATCTATCATAGGTAGTGTTGTGTAAACAACGATATCAGATAAAACCTCAACCGGTTTCACTATGGAGTGAGTTACCCAGAGAAGCTCACAAAATCTGGAAAAAAACTTGTGTACAAATGAGTTGAGATGACCGTTAAAACAATAGCAGTCTGCTGATAGAGCATTTTCCTGATCACTACTTTTTGCATTTTTTATAAACATCTTTCCTATTGCCTGAGGAGGGCTGAATAAATAAACCTGTGACTTTTGGAGTGCGTGTGTTGCGAACAATTTTTAGCAGCAAACATGAATCCTATAGGGTTCGTAGTAAAAAGGGCTTATATCATTACCTTTCAGAAAGGACAATTGAATGACTACATGTACCAAGCCCTCATGAGTGATCGACACGATTTTGTGAAGCTATTTCTCGAACAAGGTTTCAGTCTGGAAGAGTTCCTCACAGTCTACATGCTAGAAAAGCTGTATACAGACCAGCTGAAAAATATGGTAAGATGAAATTTTTGTAAAACTAGCATACATCATCTCAAATTCACTTTAGAATTCCAAGGTCGCAATTTTCAACAAAATGTGGGAATACAACCGATCGCATCGAGTAAGTGAATTTTACAGTCCACCAAAATGTGAATATTCTAAATTGCTTTTGGTAAAATCCTATTGACTTCATAATAATCTCAATGGCATGTTTTATTTTATCCAAATTCCTCCTGTAACATCACCCAATTTTTGGAAATAAAAATACGCTGCCACAGTTTATCATACATAAATTTACAGAATACAAAAATGAGCCATATTTTCTCATTTGTATAAACAGTTTTTCTGTGGACGCTGGCATACAAATCTCTAGTACATTCCCATTTGACATCCACCAACAGTATTTGTATGGGCAGCTATGAGGTGTCTACCGTCAACACAATGAATCTAAGTCCAAGCATAAAATTTTGTGAAAAATATAGATTTGTTGAGTTGCGACTATGCGATTAAGGATGATGACAGTCAAACAGTCAGTCAGTCAGCTGTAACACCCTTTCGGTGCCCAGCTGCCATGCCACCCGAACGAAGCACGAGGGCTGGGATACTGTCAGGTTGCCCAAACCTAGACAGGGGAAGTTTAGAAGCTGACGTTTATTTCGAAGCACGGACCCTCCGGTCAGTGAATTCGCGCTCCAACCAATTGAGCCACCTCGCTCAAGGATGATGATGAAAAATTGAATCTTCGGATCCTGCTTTTGACAAAAATGTTCAGCGTGACATTCTGTTGTTCTAGGTTAAGGCACAGCATGATTACTTTTATCTACCTCACAGTTAGAAATTGATGGCTGTTCCATCAGAAGTAACCTTCAAAGTTTCCCAACGGCCAAAGCACAAATTGCATGATGGTCGAGTTAAAGCGAAAACGTTTGAAAATGCCCAGAATTATGGCAGCCATTCTAAAGCATAGAGTCTTGTCTGCGCAAACTATTCGCGAAAGGTGTCAATTAGGTCCAAAGACCGACCACCTGTATGTGCCATTTCTCATTCCATTTCTCTCATTCCGAAGATGACCCGATAAGATTCCGTGACTCACACAATAGAAACTGCTAGATAACTTAAGCTGTTGAAGGATTTTCAGCAACCTTATGAGTAGCGTGGTGTGGTAAGATAATATATCTTAATATCTCAAATAACATCTAAAACAAAACTTGGGGCGGGCTGCAGCAGCCCATTCATTTAGAGCGGGCCATCATAAAAAGAGGGATTCACCTGAATCCAGTTAGGTCTCCCGTTAAAGCCCAAATTGTGTGCAGTTAAAAATATTTATCAGAATGTTTCCAATTCGGGTTCAGGTAAAACATCAGTTTGATGGAAACTCGGGGAACGTACCTACCTGTTGATCATCATGAAGGACAAAGAGTTCGTTGGTTGTCTAATGATTGTAAGCAATCTTATGTATAGTACGTTAGGCTTGTAAAAAGCGTGGCAGGCGATTAGGCTTTTTGATCGTCACCGTGACCAAGTTAAGGGTGCATCTAGTATTGTACGCGACACAGGCGTGCCATTCAATATTATGACCAACATCAAAAAACCGGGATTTTGTTGCTTAAGCGTCTGATTGCCCTTGATCGTGTTCTTAAATTAGTTGCATTCATACAGCTAAAAACGTAAAAACACTGTGCACCTCTTGATTTTTAATGAAACCGCCAAACTTAATCATGCGAGCATGATAGTTACGAGACTACTCCATGTTAACTGCACTCTTTGGGTTTAGGGATACATAGCAATAAGGCCAAAGCTGAGAGACTTTCACAAAACTTACAGGTGTGTTTGCATTTACTCCATATTAAATTAATAGCACGTTGAACTGCAAATGAGCCATGCTCATACTGAACGAAAACTCACACAACCTCGCGAAAAGTCACCGCTCAGGTTGGCGACATTTGTAGTAACTGGTGCCGCTTAGTCGCCACGCGATCAAGAGTTTTCTGATAGAGGATAAAAAATGAGGAATAGATACTTCGTTAGGGAAGTCGATGAAGAGGAGTGCCTATACAATTAGTAAATTAAATCATATAACTGACTTGGATTTTTTCGAACAGTGGATGCCGGTGAATACTTAAAATAGGGAACTGTTCTTCAGAACAGCATCCCCAAAATTGTTTTAGGAAGCTAAAGTTTATAGAAAATTCTGTTGTTGAAACGCCTTTTTCAGCAAGATGTTTTACGGAGTATATATTATTCCTGTAATATTAGGTTGTGTTACATCAAGAACGAGTTAACGCTCCCTTCTCCTGAAGAGGCACGGAAGGTGAAGGTATAAATTCTTCGTAGTTCGTAGTATAAAAACCTTGTCCTTGTGAGGTCGATGAAGATTATGCAAAACACCGTCTTCGAATTCCTCACTGATCCAGTTGTAGACTTGGTTGCTTTGCTTTCACATAAATTTAGAGTTGACTGCTCTTGCGGCGTGTTAAACAGAACAGAAAGACGAGTGTTATGATTTTAAGACTATAATGCAGCTTCACAAGAATAAATGACTAGTAGCCAAACGCTATAGCTGAACTCAACTACGTATATATATTTCTTAGTAGGAAATTATAAACAATAATCCACTGGGAATTATTGCCAGAGCACCAGGCAGTGATGCACTTTGCGGTTCTATTATTAAGTAACGAGGGAGAATAGACAAAAAGTGCCTTGTTATTCACAGAACATTCAGTATGCCATCTGGTTTGTAACTTTTATGTGATCGCTTGAAGAGATCTAACAATATGCTAAAACTCCCAAGCGTAGATTCTTGTCATCAGGCGCTCTGGTATCCGAAAATCAACATTTTCCATCCCGGTAGATACTTACTGAGTCTAGCTCAGTTGAGTCTACTTCAAGCACTCACAAAATTCTGTGTTGACACAAATTGGTTTTAGAAATTAGGGCGGGCCGTATCCAAGGAAAATAAGGTAACGCAAACATAGTGGATGGTAGTTGTTTGTGTAGAACAGTGTACGTCAACATGTTTGCCGTCCACTAGCTTGGCAGACTAACTGTATACCTTTGTCAGTATAGCGCTTGTAGTTTCGGCCCGATGCATTCCAGGTGTCCTACCACTTTAGATTTGATATACTTTGCACCTGTAGAAAACTGTGTGATGTGGTTATTTATCCTGTTTATTTGCCGTGTTCGATGTTGTGTGTTTCCGTTGTAGTATCATTTCGAGCGATTGTAAAAAGTGTTCTATATTCGCTCATGATTTTCGGTCGAAATAGTACAACCTCAACCCTCCACAGCTGCTCTTAATGAAAACAAATTTCAGGGCTTTGAACAGGACCTGTCCATTTGTCTTGTGACACTACTGCACAACTTTACGCATCCATAGTCATAATATTATAACTGATTCAAGTGTGTTGCCTGCAGAGCAATTGTTCCCAAACTTTTCTGATCGGGCAACGATTTCTTAGTGGTTACATGTGAGTCGATAACACAATACCACGGCTGTATTTGACACTCAGCATGTACTACTAAGCTCGCCCTGATAAGTCGCTTAAAATGCAATCTTCATAAACAGAGAGATGATATTCTTGCTGAAATCTTCTGACGGTGACTTTGTACATTTGTTCCGAAGAGAAATACCAGTTGTATGGAAACACTTGTGGCTTTCTTGCTGTATTTCCTTACCCAAATAACGACTGATGTGACTACAAATGTCATCTTTTTGTAGTGCTGAATACATATTAAATGTCGTAACAATCCCGTCGATTGTGTTGTTTCCAGTAGATCTGATATGGAAGCACAATGCATGATTGCAGCTTTTAGTACTTGTGTTCCTTCATGTTAAAGCTTTACTGATATTATATTATGGAACTATTCGTCGCGATTTTTAAAAAAAGTTGAGTATTTCACCTACCTTACTGTCCTCCCGTTCACCTGTGTGCAGGGTTTATAAATATGCACTTCAAACACTGGCAGCTTTGCTGCTATGATTAAGGTATGTTTTCTTATCTTCCCTAGAAATGTCACATCTATCTATTTTCTCGTCTCGTCAGTTCATTTCTACACTTTTTGCTTGTGTTCACACAACTAGCAAAGCTCGAAAGTCGCACTACGTGACGTTGGCAAGGTCATTAAGGCACTCGTCGGAGACTTCTACCACCCGTTATATTTGAGCAAAGAATTTCATGCCAAGCTTATGCCTGAGAAGCGTCTTGAGGAACCAGGTAGGTCATATCATTAACCTTCTAAAAACACCTCAATTTTTCAAGAAACATCTATACGACGTATCATTGAGCACCTGCACTAAGGCTATTCACTGTAAAAATCAACACTTTGAGGTTGTGGATGTTTTATATATTAAACGAGATTCCGGTTTAACAAACAGTGTTTTTGGTTCAAAACAATAGTTAGCATCGATCATCGAAGATTAGGAGACAATTTGCTTGAATTCAAGCCGGGTGCACTTAACCATTAAGATTTTTGGTTGTGTTTTAATATCCACTCTGTGGGTGACAGAGATAGGGGCGATGTGCTTTTGGGTATTGTCAGATGTATGATGGACGTAAGAATCTCCATTGGTTCTATGGAGTCAACGTTGTGACAACAGATCAGAATGGAACGAAGTAATTGTAAGTCATCATGTAGTTGAAATCGACAGATGTGGTACCAGGTGTATGACGAGGATTTGCAAGAAGACTGAACTAATATGCATCCGTGTTTAAGTAATGTGGTATGGGATAGAGGTTTGTATCTCACTGTTGAAGTAACTAGTATATCAGTGGTACTTCATACAAGCTTGTGTGTGATTTGTACTCGGTTGCTAGATAACAGTGTGCCTGTTTGAAGGACTGTTAACACACGTTTGATTGTTGCTGCATCAATTGATATTGCTTATTCTGATGTCAGCTCGACAAAATGATTTGGCTGACGCCTTTTCACAAGGCCATATAGCCATCGTCGGCTGATGAAAAAAAGATTGAATCGCAGTTTTTGTTCTCGAAAAAGTATAATCGACCACCCAATTATCCCACAATACTGGGCGTGTATTCGGCAGTGGCATAATAGAAACCAATACGCTCTCCATATCTATGTATACAAAATTTCCTAAGAAGCCGTCTTCATCGTACCCTGTTTTTTGGACTTAGACAATTTTCCTTCCGTAAAGATTATTTTCGTATCTTAAACGTTGACCCAGCAGTTGTTCTGCTTCTGTCACTTTACGCCTTATTTATCAGAACTTCAAAGTAGGGTGTTCATAATGGCTCCAGGCTGCGGGATTTATCGAATCCCAGGTACTAACCACAGATCACTTATCAAGGTTAACAAAGTAGCCGAAAATTGCGATAACGATAACGTTAACAACATGGATACCATTTGTTTTAGAATGTGCTAGAGTTTCTTCACATTGGTTGCTTCATCCCTTTGAGGCTGGGATTCAAAAGAGGCGTACTGAATCCGAAATAAAATCTTCACCATTTCAAATGTGTTTAAACTACCCCCGCAGGGTAGAAGAGGTAGTATCTGACAGAGTTGCAAAGTACTCAGGAAACCCAACTGGTTTATGAGGAAATTCTGATTAGTTTTCTTGAAACACTGGAACACTGAGTATGTCCTATGATTATGCCCCAAACTAGACGAAAGTGAAGAATTTTGCGATCAGAAAGAAATTTACTCGGTTCGGCCCACATTAGCACAGTTTTTGGTATTGCGTCTATAGGTACATTTTCCCCATGAATTAAAGACATTCGACATGTAGATATGAATACAGGTTGACCCTACTGGTATTTGATAACCATTCTGGACAGTCACACTGACATGATTGTAAGATGAACTATGAACACTTTTAACCAGCTCAAACAATAATACATCCCATAAATAGGCCTTTTTACAGCTTTAGCGGAAGTCCATTGTTCAACTATCACATAATAAGCATAAACGACTTGGATGGAGTTATTCAAGTACAGTCTTAACGCTCAAATTCTTCGTCTAGTTAACCTACCAACTACAACCCCACTGCTTCTGGTTAACGCCCTTTTGAGTAGCAGGCGTCAAGTAGGATAGAAATCCTTCATATATGTGAGGCATAGTTCACTGAATGTACATATGCAGCATAACACTGAGTGCATTATGCTGATCGATACCTTCGGCGGCAGCTACCCGTATTGTTGCGTCGTATGACCACAAACAATAACCAGTTTTTAGTGTAATTCTGCATAGAATATATCGGTTTATGTTTTGATTTCTGCACTCCACGCATTTTCAAAGAAGCAAAATTTTATAGCAAGTAATGAAGAATCGAGTATGCTAAGTTATTTTGAATTTAAATCCTGTTATTTTTCATAGTGTTTATACCATTCGAGTCTGCGCTCAGATGACATAGAAAAACTTGATTATCGTTGCACTAATACACCAACAAAAATTCTGTACTTGCCTATTTAAACTGTATACAACATACCAGGATTTGTAAGGTGGAAAAAATTAACTTCATCATAGGATTGATGTTTTCCAAATGTTTCAACCGACTCTTGAAATGTACTGTGCCTTTTAATTCGTATGTCACATGAATAAACGGACATCTGTGTTAACTTTTATTGCAAGCAAGTCTCAGCAGTTTCTGATCGGATTGAGATTATAGCAGTGGACGGACAAAGCGGAAACAAGCGTTTTGGCACAAGGTAGGCTGCATAATTCAGCTTCCTTGTTCTGAAAGAGTAAGGAACTTACGCCGTTTCCTATAAATAAAATGAAACGGGGAGTCATCCTGTTTGGTTTGGTTTCAAATTTGATATTTTCAATAGAGTGTCCATACACTATAGTTTAGAGCGGAAGCTTGACTACCCGTCTGCCTTTTATTTTGTGCGCCTTGCAGTTGCCATAAGACGTTTTCTTTTACCAGAAGTAACACAACCGAAGTCAAAACTCCAGGGGATATGACGTCTTCATTCACTCTTGAAAATTTCCGTGACTTACTCAAGGATTTCTATCACCTTGGTGTGTTATATACCTGGCACGTCTCAAGGCAGTGTCCGGTACGCCCGACCAAGTAACATCTAAGTCGAAGAAAGCTTTACAGGACTGAGGCATCATTCAATCGAGGAGAAGCACGATTCAAATGTTTTCTCTCATATCATTGATGATAATTTATTTAAAATAGTCCGCCTAAAAACCTAATATTGATGGGCTTAAAAGTGGACGTAACAAATCCCACTACACTCCAGGTAATTGTTACAAAAATGCCCGAGTGGAACACGGTGCTACTAACATTATTCCCTAAACTTATCTAAAAGCTTATATAAATAGACGACGACAGTTTCGGGGCAAACAGACCCGGATGACGGGTTCTGCAACAACCTAGTGATGGTTCCAAGTACATTTTCAGTAATGGCGCAATAAATGCACGAAAATAATACACTCTTTTGTTTGACTGAAACACGCGTGTATTGAACTAACGGCAGAATATATGGAATTTCCAATATATTGTTGACAAACTGACAAGCTAATGTTTTTTCTCTCCCTTATTTTTATTGCTTGCGTTCTTTGAATTGCCTGAAATTTTTGAAAACTGCATGTGAAACTATAATCCGCTATTTTATTTTTATCTTGCTTGATAATCCCTGTCCTAATGGAACACTGTGAAACTCCATTCTTCTTTATTTTTAAAATGGTTCTACTTAAAATCCTTTGAATATACTCAAAGGGCCGGGCAAACCGTATGACCCTGATGCTCCATTCATCAGCGATGAGGATTCCTTTAGTTATTCTGACAATAGCTATGATAATGGAGCAATAAGTCCAAGAACCTTGGGACTAAGGGAACGTGTGCGTTTCATTGATCACGGCGAGGAGCACGAGCGCGATTGGCTTGCTGGCGTCCACCCACCGGGGGCTGGATTCCAAAATCCGGCATTTTTAGAACAGGACAGAAGTAAGCGCCATATGGCGGCGGGTTTGTAGACTCAAACAGTACAAAGGACATCAAAATGTCATTTTTCTTTTGTAAGACACCCAAAATATTCCAGTTTCTCATCATAGTGACCAACGCGGGCAAGCAGTGTGCTGAAACTGCAAATTTTCTCAATGCAGGCTACTTTGAAAAATGACTCACGCAATCCATTTCGTCTAACCCAGAACATTTTACTATTTTACAATGAGATTCACAAAAGATAACCAAACTGGACGATATCTGTCAATAATAATCGAGTATTTTCTGATATCCAAAAAGTGAACAAACTTTGCCCCTAGCAGCCTGCACTTTTTGAGTTCAGAAAAGTAAACAAATTCAGTTTCGTGCGGTTATTCTTCTAGAATGGAGGCAGCAGAAATTAGCAATGACTGCCTGAACTTTCAACTAAAAGCACAGAGTTATGCGTTGGATTGTAGGTTTGTGTGGTTCAGCGGAATCCCTATGAGATATAGTAGCAAGTCAAATTTGCCAAACCGATAAATGGACCCCAGGTACACCGTAACCGACACTTACCTTCACAGTGATTTAGAGTAACTTACGGAGCCTCCTTCACTTTTCTACTGTTATCTCCGTTCAGCGGTAGCAAAGTCGTTGCATGAGTTGTCTTGTGGTGTGCTGCATTCAATCGGTGAAGAGACTTTTCTCACTGTATCTTTTAGCTGATGAAGTTATAACAGTACACAGCCCATTTTATGCATCTTTGAAATCAACTTAAGTTAATTTGGGACAAGCGTTACAATCAATGTTGTGAAACATCTTGTTATCATAGAGGTCATTACGATAGCCGGTTAATGCATGTTGATTTTTGTCTAGCTCCTTCAAAAAGGATTGTTGTTTTGTAAAATCAACGGTATTATTCGACTTACCTACTGGTTTTTATGATCCCACTGAGCCTTGAAACTATATTCTACAGCCTCAGTGTTTTCTCTGTTGTCGAATATTGCGATGTACTTGAAATAGTTATGTATTATTTCAGAGAACAAATTTTATTATGATTTGCAGAGTGCAGTCATTTCCTCTCCTGCCATCAAACAATTATACTTTTGTTCACATAACATTTTTACACTATTCATAACTCAAATAATTTATCATGTACTCTACGCAGTTTCATATTTCACTGGTTCAATTATCGTTAGTTCCAAAACGCCTTCAAAAAAACAATAAATTGTCGCTCTTGTGCGTGCTAACTGCACATTCGTCAACAGCTCTGGAGTGGTAGTGGTAAATAGTCCTTAGTATCATCAAGGCCAGGAACCTCACTGTTATTTTTATCGTTCCTGGAGGAACATCAATCTGAATCTGCCTTCCCTGTTACCTTTCGACCATCAACCTTGGTATATACATAGACACTAATCAGCCTTAATATTTCGTTCGACCTATTGCGACAGGATTCTGTCAGCTGGAAGTTTGAACTTGAACAATACTGAGGTCTTATTTTTGTTCCATTGTGGAAGGTGCATTTTCCAGGCAATAAGTCTAATAGAATACAAGAAAGTGATCTTCCATTTACATTCAGGATACAAACTACTAAATTGTTTAGACTAGAACAGGACGTCTTTATTAATTATCTTTATTTGGTAACGACTTTTTTCTAACTCTCTAGATTTCCATCCTTAAATCCTTGAAGATTTTTCGTTTCATTCTCTGTTGATGGGACAAACTGGCTACATTCGGCCTATAGCTCACTTAATCCTATATCGGGACTGTGGATTCCATGAATTACTATGCGACTTTGCCAGTAAGCCACCAGTTAAATCCATGGACTGTAAGTAAAGCTTACACTGGGTGACATTCTCAAACGAGCCAAAATGTTTGGCCTATGTCCGGTTAGCCCAGTCACACAGCAAAACTTTTGGAGATCCGATGAAATTTTGAAGAAACTATTCAAATCAAATCTCCTAGCTCGATAATAATCATTATTTCTTGATATAAGTCAACTAATCAGATAAAGCCACGTCACAAATGAGAACACGGAGTGACACACAGACAAGAGGATATGAGGGTCAAAAATTTTATACGTCGTGTCATTTCATGATTAAAAATAGACTGAGTGAGCTGGAAATTCAGCTGTTTTCTATTAATTTTGGAAAAGAAGGCCGATACTGTCAACTGGTGTGGAATCTGAGAGTAAATTTGGTCTATACTGCATACTTCAAGCGAAATTCCGGACTAAGTACCTCTGATTTGTTAGCAACCATAATGACAGGAAGCCTGGCTTTATGGTTCAGCCTATAAAATCGGATAAATTAATCATGAACTCCCCAAAAGTCGGGGATCTATCATTACCAAGATATTGTCAGCACTGACTGGACCTCTTTCAAATAAATCTAACTAAACGTCAAGAGATTCAGTCTGTACCGTACATCTACGATTGTATGCTATCACTTCAGTTGGGCTTCGGTTTGTTGTCCGACTTTAAAAGACCGGCTACCTCCAAATTTTGTCAACCCCGGATGATAACAAAATTCCAAGTGTTGCAATGTAAATCATGTGCAGGCAAAATATAAATATAAATGCCCTTCCTGCAACAATTTTATAGTGGAAGAGATCTGTCGGTTTAGTCTGAAAGAGTCTAAAATTAGTCTCCTACGGGAAACTTTGATGCCTCTGCAACAAGAAACAACATGTTTAGTGAAAATGCTGCATAGACTTATTAAAGGTAAGATCACACCCCGAATATCTTAAGTGCTACTGCGAAGCGTTGTATAAGCGAAGACTGGTCGGCCACACGAACGTTCGGGTAGTATTGTCAGGTAATCCGAAAAATTTGTTCGCAAAGTCTAGCTGGGCAAAGTGACCCGAAGACACATTAATCCTATGGGAAGCAGCCCGAAGCTATTCGGCAAAGTGATGGTGTATACGCACACCATGTAATTTTATAAGGATGGAGTGCATTATGTGGTTTAGAGCTTGGGAACCCGACTGCATCCTTCTTACTACCGTTCAGTAACATTCACTGGCTTCATTCTTGCCAGGAGTTTCGCAAAAATTTCCGAATATCTAAGCAAAACATTCTCATCATTCACCGGTAGACCACAACAAAACTCCGATCCTCTAATGCATGGGTTTTTTTACCTAAAAATTTATGATGCCACATATAAAATCTGCATGCGAATGTGTAGTCACGTAACCTACTACTGCTGTAGTCCTCGCCGCTTCGCGGAACTTGTTTGTGCCAAGCTGGACGGAGTAGTAAACTTCAGAAAAGTAACAGTCCGAAGTGTTCCTCTGACAGTTCTTGCTCAACTTTTTTTATAGCGATTCGCGTAACTGCCCGTCGCGGAGCCACAAGTGGTGAACCTGGTCGACCAGATGGAGATGATTCAGACGGCAAGGGTGGTGCCGCCAACGGAACTTCTGAAAAGCTCGATCTCGAGGAGAAGTACAATCAGCAAGGGATTCCCCGTAGTTCAACTACAGTGACAACAGTGAGCGGCGACATTCTGCTGCCGGCAAAAAGTCCAAAACGCTCGGCTGATCAAAGGGATCAATCCCAAAGACGCACGAGTAGGGAACACCGACGGGGACGTTCTCCTCCACCTTACGAAGGAACCACACTAAGGCAAAACGCATATGCGCGACCTAGTCGTAATGGAAGTCAGAAAAGAGGCCAGCAGAGTACGTAATTACAGGGATATATTCTATTCACATACGTGTTGAATGGTTGACATTCAGTTAATTAATAATCAATGGAATAATAAACATAACAATGCATACTTAATCAATTAATAACATCCGACTGCATCCTTGAGATAAACGGAGTCCGATCGTTTACGTAATATGGAAATCAAAAAGGTAAACTAGTGATTAAAGGCGTATATCAACGAAGTTGGAACTGTCTGTGTAAACGGAAAGATGACTGGATGAAAGAAAATTACGAGTAGGTAATTGCCTCACCAGGGAGGTTTTCAATCGTACGACAGTGGGATGTGTGCCCCACAGCCATACACGCCGGCACATAAGTGAGTTTCTGAAAAAGTGAGTTGGTCCAACATATTCTGTTTTGAGAACAAAAGTCCCATTTTCGTGAAACCCAGACGTCAGTGGCACTACTCAAAATACCGTAAAAACACCAAAGTAAACTCGTGGCCATACAGTCTTAGAGGGAGCCAGCCTTCACACACAGCTCAAATAATGGCACTGTATATTGTGGGTAAATATTTTTACCTACACTGCCCATTTTGTGAAGCAAATGTTTTGTGTTTCCTAGCATCCATTTGCTGTTGATTAGCCCTGTAAAGCAAGCGAACTATGGTTTGGCGGACCCCGTGACCTTTGGGATTTTCCGGTGGTCAGATCCTTTAATTCTTCCACAATCTTCTTTTAACTGAACGAGTTTTGTTTCCGTCACTAATTTTGAGTCATTTGTTTAAGAGAGCATCCAAATCCGAGATATTTTGGTGGTTGAAAACTTCGAACAAAAAACCTTCTGACATATGCCTAAATAAATACTGTTTTAAGGTGCTTTTATGAAATATATTACGCATTGTCAGAATAAGTTGAGATAGGACTTATAACATACCAGCTGATACAGAAGGGAGCGGGGCGTAAATTACAAGTCCTCGTCAAGCCCCCGACATTTGGCGTTTGTAAGATCAGTACAGGAAACAACCTAGATGCAGAAGTGATGTACATATCGAGATTCCTGATGAAAGGACCAGCCCGAAACAAGTTTGTGTTGGAATATGCAAGGCATGTGATTGCGTTTTTCTGCCTTCGCAATGTAACGTCAATGAAATCACAGATTGCACACTTCCATCTAGATAGCCCAGTCTGTTGTTCTTCGCGGGACTCCATTCAATATCTTCCTGAAATCAAACCGTGACGGCCAAATAATCTCTGATCTGGTTTGCCTGGAAACTAACTTAACTTTATGCGCGATACCGTGCTAAATCCTGTTGATCCGCCCAGGTTTAGAACAGAAACATTTCGCATACTTTTGAACACCTGTGTGATAGTTTCTATTTTGGTACATCTCTATATTTCGGTTAAGCATAACGGCCAAATCCATGAATGCCAAAGCGTGTGCTCTGCAAAGATTCATTAATGGCACTTTATCATTGGGGAAAAAGTAGTCAGTCTCATCATCTATACTAACATATCGTTACCAATAAAAAGGTCCTGAACATCCGGTAAACCACGATAAGTGCAAATAGTGGCGATTTTGATTGATAGGGGGGGGGGTAACATGCCGCAAAATACTGCCTAGAAGTTCAACTTGCAGTCAGCGCAGCATACTAATTATCCTTTTTGGTGTCATTTTATTCCAAGACGATCCGCGATACACAAGACGCCGTCCGTCGCTGGATAACATGCATGACATACCTATACCCGGGCAGCCGCTCGTCTACAACGCGATTGTGCCAGCTGTCAACCGATCAGCTGCAGGCTACGGTGGTACTGCCTACACAAGCTTCGGACCGGGGCACTTTCGAATTACCGGACGGGCTCCCCTAGCCTATGATGCTTCAGTCGAATCATCAGGCATTGCCATTCCACTTAACCGAGCAGCGGATGAGAATGTCTACGTCTCCCGAGACAATATAAATGAACAGCCAATAAGGCCCTTTGCCCCGCCAGCCCACTCAGATGTATCTTCGTTCACGATTGGTATAAGGAGCGCAGGGGCGTTTGAGCAGGGTGGATTGCGTGGTTGTTGGCGATGGGTTACTTCCTGTTGCGTGCGCATTCTAGGAAGATCAAGTTCAAAGGATCGAGGAGAAACAGGAATGGAACATCAAGACGGAATGAAAGGACGGGAATTCACCACTTTACGTGCGATGGCAGCATTAGCAGCCGCAACTGCTGTGACTGCCGTGGCTGATCCCTCTAAAGCACCTCACACAGGTATGTATTCAAAATGCTTCTACATAATTCAGGAAACACCTACTGAGCAATTATGAGAGATGTATTCGTTATTACCATGATTCGCGCCTGTCCGTTAGATGCTATGAAGTGTGTACTAACCTGGAAGCTTATGGGTTAACACATTAAAATTTGGTATGAATAGCTGAAACATGCAGAATCTGGCGCTGAACGGCAAATTAGTCCGAGCACAATTGGACATGGTTCAGGACGCACAATACTCTGGAAAACGAAAAGTGAATAGTTGTCTGCATACACAAAAAAGATACATCGTTCATAGATTCAGGGGCTGGTTCTCGTCATCCGCTTGGTTCAAATCATTCTTGAAGCAAGTCTACTATTGAGGTGTGAAGGTACGCGAATAACTGGGGTTAATTGACATGATAACACCTGGATTTTTGATATCAGTTCTGAGGAGAAGGATGCAGACAACATTGAATGGTTGTCAGCTGTTTCGTATGTAAATGTAATGTTGGCGGTGATGGCAGGGAAGAAGACATGGTAGTATTTCAGAAGATGGTGTGTTAGAAATCGTGACACCCAGAACGGTGTGATAAACTACAAGGCTTTGTCACCAAGAGAAACTACACTATCCGCAATAGGACTCTAGAGTTGTAAATTTAAAGGTCGGAAGTCGCAACGACCTCAAGGTCTTGGAAGCCATGTGGATAGCTACTAAAAGCAACTGCAGACCAGACGTGATTGTATCATAGTGGGAACAGTTACCTGACCCGTTTGCACAAAGTTAATTTTCAACTATCACAACATACGTTCAGCTTGGTTTTTCGGAAAAATAATAAGCTTGGCTCACTTTATGAGCCACAAGAATGGCAAAACCGATTATGGGCTGTCTGGATCTTTTTGTCGATTTTGTGAGCAGTGCCAAATGAATGAACAGTTATTTGTGTTATCTGATCAATCGGCACAGATCACATAGGAATTCAGAATTGAAAGAATTCTGTAACAAGGAGAGAGGGTTTTATTCGTCCTGCTTCAACTCACGTAACACTACTTCAGTGCTACCCATATCTCTGAGGTGAGAAGCAATTACATGACGCTTACAGCGACTGCTAAGATGCGCACATTTCCCGCAGTAGATATTGTCTCGACCGGGCCATGAATGAAGTTCGACTGTGTTCAAAAGTGAACTAGCAGGATGGGCACCTGAAACTACAAAAAACGAGGTTATTTTAGTGACGAAGAAAATCATTTAAACAGTCCTGATGGATTGATAGATTATTTCCACGTCCTACAAAAGGGGAATTCCTTATAACTTGTACAAATTAGTCGTGATCGTACTCACATTTCGGAAGCAGCCAACCTGAAAATGATCGAAACCGACGTTCGGTCGTTGCGGAGATTTCGCCAACATCTTGAGCCTTGAAGTTCTCGTACAACTTAGGACAATCCTCAGTATGTAGCTGTATCCACTGAACACCAAAGATTGTTCCCCTGTTTCAGTGGTCATAGAGCAATATACCGCGTTGGAAATCATATCCGGCGCCAATATAGTTCTTGTGGCTTGAAATGGTGTCTGACAGACAATAAATGTGCTCAGGGCTAATATTAGTCAGCACAAAACAGTCACTTTATTAGAGAAACCAATCTTCTTATCTCTTTTGCTTTGAATCGCTGGCCAACACGAAAGAGACACACGGTCACACACTAGTAAAATGCCAAATATTGTGGTCTGCCGTAAGGATGTCTAACAACTGGACATACTATTGTGCGCTTTGGAGCTAGCTTGCGGCTGGCTTGTAGATGGCTTGCAGCGTCTCTATCGCCTGCGCGACCGTCTGTGGTGGTTATTAAAAACAACACCGTGTTTCCGACATGAACAGCTAATCTGACTTTGTGCCAAATCACTGGCTAGTGGATATTTTACTATGGCGGAATTTAAACAGGCACTATTAGGTCACAACCATCTCCACGACATATCACGGCAAAAAAATCAGAAGTCGGTATGCCTCTCATTGATAGTATGCTGAAGACAATAAGATTTTGTATTTCAAATTGGCACAAAATTTTGACGCGTTCAGTTAACATGTGAACCAATGAAGTCTATGTGTGTAATTTAGGGCATACCAATTACCCCCACAAACTCAGACGGTCCAGATAAATCACCGTGGTCTCACGGAATACCAGAATAAGTCACACGAATCCTCCCATATCATCAGATGCAATATACATTCCATTGGTAAGCCAGAAAAGAGCTTATGTGAACTGGAATCGGAAGACTTACTTGTCTGTCTGAAAGCCCAATTGACCAGAGTGTAAACTCAAATCTGAAACCGGTTTCACCGATCGTAATACATATATAACCCAACAGCCATGGAGTCACTTAATGGCTTTTTCCTAACACAAGTTAAGTGGAGCTGAGCTTGTTCACACCTACCGCTGCGAAGACGTGTGCGACTAACTCATCTCCAGAACAGAAAATCCGACAATATTGGTTCAACGTCCGGAGCTTTGTTCACACTTTGATAACAAGGATTTTGTAATATGGTGTGCAACTGGTGAGATACGTACAACATGTTACGGTTTCTGAGACTGATTTCTCGGAGTGCTGTACAGCCTGGATCAAGTCAAACCTCTTTAGGTATTGCTAACAAGCCGAGAAGAAATGCGCAAACACAGCATAGCATCAGTGACGTATAAATCTGTTAAGTCCTCAACGGTTACCTACGTCTCTGCAGTGACACGAGGCGATTCTAAATACCACACCCAATGTCCTATCTATGAACTCACCTACGGGATCAGCGTTCCGTGATAGAAATTTCATAACAAATTCCATACTCAGGAAAGCTATGACTGCGTGACGTCTACTTAGACCCTACTATCTCTCAGAAGTGTGGTTACCTCTATCCAGCAGATATAGTTCATACTTATGAGGAAAACGCCAAAACCAGTTTGGCAGAGTTAACTGAAAACCGAGTAATGAAGAAGAAAAAGGTTAGAATTTTGGACAATTCTTGTACTGCGATATATTGCAATAGTCAGATATGTAACCGTTCAGGTGAACAATTCCCATTACTCTGGAAAGTGTTGGGAACTCCCATCACCAGATTTCCAATTGGTCGTAATTCACTGCTGATCAGTTTACTAAATGTAGTGCATGGAGTTCACTCAAACGAGAAAAGCTGTTTGTTTTTAACTACAAGCTAACCGGTTACCATAAATGTGAAACGCTCCAACATAGCACTTGGGCAAGAGTAAATTTCAGTCCACTTCAGTCTTTCCTACCGGAATCACCTGCTTATGATTACTCTAACCCTGTCGCCCTGGTAACAGAGGAAGTAGCGGAAATACACAGTTGATTCTACCTCTGTTCAAGTTGGGAAACGGTCGCGTTGTGCAATGAGGTGAGATGGTTGTTTGTTTTGACTGGGCGTGAACCAAAGAATGTTTGTGAGCATAATAAATCATCCACGCTCAAAGCGGTTCCATAAAACGGCACAGCTCTGCCGCTCTTGTAAAGCTTAGTCGGCCAAGTTGCTGTTCATTCTGTCGGTTTTTGTATTCGATAGTCGGAATGATCCTGAAAGATGAACTAGGCTAGATTCGTGATTTCTGCTTAACCAGGGTCTATGTTATCAATTACTTATGAGTATTAAAAAGCTGGAGCTCTGAAAGAATAAAATACAATGTCACAATCAGTTTAGAACAAGAAAAATAGGTCGTAACTGGTTTGCGTCTGGGAAGAGTAACTACTGTGCACAAGGCAATCAGTGGTTCTGAATGTTTCAGTTCACATAGCCGAAAGAAATAAACCTGGAAAATAGCATGTAGCATACTGAATGAATCTTACGACAGGATAACCAACATGCCTTCTTAATTCTTAATAAGACCTTCTCAAAAGAAAACACAATGCACGATAAACTGGATACGGTGCAATAAAACGGCCCTGCTTTGCTGCGCCACTCCACGACGGTCGTTCCTTTTGTAATGAACGAAACATTAGGGGGCGTCAACTATTGTATCTTGGTCACTGGTTGATTTAATAAATGACTGACAGAAAAAAGGCTAATGTTGCAGTATTCAAGGCTGTCAAATGACTAGAATTACATTACCTGAACTGTGTTATTATGGAGTACAGTTGACCCAAATCTGGTGGGAAACTTCTCATCTGTTTTCAGTATAATATTCGGTTAGGAAAAGTGGATCTCTTGTTTAGAAAGTAGACGAGCTATATTGTGAGTGCTAATGTATGTATGGTAATCATAAGCGCGAAGTGGGTTCATATCCATGTGGAATAGATCACTGTTGGAGATCCTTACTAGAATCTGGTTGAATTTTCTAAGGGTTTATAAAATTAACCGGCAGTTTTCTGGGCATTCTTTCCCACAATGAACAATTCTCAAATCTCGGACTCTTCTGGCACTTGTACATTCACTCTGCGCTTTCCAATAAAAACGAAAGATAAGTAAATTATACATTTCTCTTCTCGAGTAATTTCTGAACCGTACTACTTTGGGTTTGTCCTGGCTCTAGAAGAAAATCTTCAATGCTACCGCCTCAGTTCGCCCTGTGCTTTGACATATATAGTTATCCGGTGCACAACTTTGGACTGCTACATCATATCTATTTGGCTTAGTTATCAGTATGTGTGAACCGATCACACCCTGGGTATGAAACATACCCTGCGAATTTCCTTATCCAACGGAAAATCACTCGAAACCCATCATTTGAAGCTGAGTCTTCACCTAAACCTTCACATACTTTCTACAAATAAATGACAATTTCATTTACTCTCCTCATTCAGGACGGGAAATGGCACGTTGTATTTAGAAAGAAGAAGCATCGCTGAACAGGCACTGATTGCCGATTTCTACAAGTCACCTGATCTGCACCAAAGTGACCAAATAGTTTGATTCAGTTCATTTTGTCCACAGTCTGGGCTGCTTTAATTTGTCGTTCATCAAGAAAACCTTGGGGTTTAAGCGAAATGCACTCAATTGCAAACTAATTTGGTTTGGCGAGAGACTCACCTGGAACCCAGCTAAAACTCTCATTTTCAAGGGGTTTGTTGTTGTTGTTGCTGGGGTTTTGGTTGCGTAGCAGGATTCGGATGGAGTTGTCTGAGTCACTCCGACCTCCAGTTTGCAGCAGTATCTAGCTACTGACAATGCATTTTTCCTATTCGACCTTCAAGGGGGGAGTATTTTGATTACGTGCTTTTGAATGTGTTCTACCACAAGTTTTGCAAGTTGTTTGTCCTCCGTATCACTGTAAGTGTCTCCGTATCTGTAGCGGAACTCGAAGGCCACATGAGAAGCAATCTAACATGAATCTGGAGCTCCCTACTGACTACATTAAAAACCTCATTTTACTCTGTACAAAGCCAGAGGGATAAGAATCTAAAAAAAAGTCGACCGTATTGGGCAGCTCCTTGTATATTTGTCGACTTGTATAGAAAACATCTTACATACTCTTTTGATGCCCACTCTTTTAGGACGATTTTCAGTCCTAAGAAGAAGTGATCAAAAAAAACTCATTATTTTAAAGATCTCTATCTTTCTACTGGAAACGTTCGTGCTTAGAACCAAAGCTTTCCGGCATGACTAATACCGCACTGGAGGCAGAAGCACCGTAAGGTATCCTTGGGGGAAGATCTTGCTATTCCGCTGGATAAAGTAGTTCGCAGGCACTTATTGCATATGCCACGTACAAAACGTTTCCTTGTTACCCGTCTCAGTAACATTCTTCTACGCCCCATGATAACTTATAAACTTTATCGTCTTCTTCGCCTGTCGTATTGGTTAAAAATGATGCTAAACCTACCAAAAATTCACTTTGCTCTGCTTCAAACATAAACACACCGAAATTTGCAACCGCGTTGGTAAGTCAAATGTTTCCAGTTATGCTACGGACAATCATGATCATGATCATATTGTCAGACACGTTGCATCCCCCTCAGGTACATGTCAAGAATGGCACCCCAAAATGTGCAGCACATGGCTTTTGCTTTTCTACTTCGTAGACTGCCGCGTATGGAGGTTTGCTTAGGTAAACAGAATAAACTGATTTCGAATAAAGAATCACTTTGGGGATGTAACGCTAAATTTCCGTTTATAGGAAAACAGGCTTACTGGGGGAAACCTCAAAGGTCATCAACAAGGGTCAAAACTCTGTCGGCATTGAAACGGATTTCCTGAAACAATCATTATCCCAAACTAACGGAGATCGTCATCCACTGGCTTGGTTTGTTGTTTATATCCTTTTGGATGACTTAGAAATGGCAGACTTCGTGTCCTTATTCCTCCATACTTGGAACAAATGATCAGATTTAAAGTGAGTACAATAATAACACCGGATATTATGTAGCCATAAGAACGAGAGGGATGTGGTCTGAAAATCTTCATCTGTTTTGACAAAATAACTTCTAGTGTTGCGTCCGGAATTTCTGAGTTACTTTCTTATCTAACATCCTATTGCAAAGTTATCACTTTGTAAACGCATAATGAGTTCGGGAATCGCTGCTTCTTCCCGCATTCACTTTCAGTAGGAACAAACACTGTCAACATCTAAGCATTTAAGGCTTCTGTGAGTGCTACGCTTGTAAGATTATATCAAAATAAGACAGGATTTTTAGTATGGAGAAACCTAAAACATCACAAAACAACTTGGCCGCGATACCTAAACGGCATGAAACCCAATATCCACGACATACTATTCAGACAGCGTTGTGTGAAATTTTACTCCAATATTTTCTCCACACAATGTGCAATTCACTTACTCGATTTTGCAGGAACACAGGAACCAGGTAGTTATGTGGTGCGATTTGTCTAAAGTGTTATCGTATTTGGTTCGACTTCTGTGCTTGATCCCACCTTATTTTCATGCCCGATTTGTATGTTTGTACCTTTTGCCTGCTCATCTACAGATTGCTAACCCTGGTCTGCCGTCCAACCCCCCTCCCCATTAAACTCAAATCGTTGTCCAGTTTGTCCAGCATGTGTTGAGGTGAAGACATAGATGAAACCACTACCAGAAATTAACAGACTTCAGCTTCATAATTTTTAACAGCATGAGATGACGTTCTGTGACTTTTGTCAGTTTTGTGACTGTTTTCATGCTGATTATTTTTCGAATTTGGTTTGGCCTGCGATGTCACCACAACCTGAATATATCTAAATGCGGAAGCAGTTGATTATTGTCAACATCACATGTTGTGTTCCAGAAGCATGAGGAACAATGGACGTAATACTCTGTTTTTTATTATGATGTGCTAACGTTTAAGTCACCCTACCGATGATGATAAAAGGAGTTATTACTGATTTTGGAAAATCACCTAAACGGAATTGACTAATTAAATCGGGTGGCTACACGGTTTTTGACTTTCCCCCCACACTGAATGTGTACCAGCTATTCCGCTTTATCACAATTAAACATTGATTTGGATTCAAAATATCTAACAATCCATAAGTAATCTACTCCGGAAGGCAAAAATCGTACAAATCACATTACTTTTCCGTCTGACAAGTCATCGGACGAGCCATTCAAAATTGGCCACGTGTCTAGAAATGCGTGTTTGGAGGATGCGTGCTGCTTCATCCAAAGTGCCAGTTTATCACACATGTGTCCGGCCGTTTTTGTGGTGTGCAGTCACCAAACGGAAGTCCACAAGTTCGAATACCGTTGCTGATTTGTGAAGTGAGTTCTCTTGAAGGTTCTCAACGTGGATTGAACGCCTGTACTGCTTCCCAATTTTTCAACACCAAATGATGTTACTTGGAGAATAAAGCCCTCTTTGAGGTGTCACGTAATCCTGGAATGTGAATGAATGTAAACTGCCTTATCGGAATATGAAATATTTTGGATGCTTGCGAGGGGTTCAGGTTAGAAAAATGTTGGAAATTCCGAAATTGTTCTATAGAAGAAATGTTTCGGGTGATAAACCGGTGAAAAACGAACAAGTCCAACGATCGCAACCTCCCTCAGCCGGGGTTGAAATCGTTTGTTTGTACAACAGCTGTAAAACTTGGGTACAACAGGATATACCGATCAAGCTTAAGGTTCAATAAAGTTCTCTAAATGAAATACATCAGATCATGTTGTGCCTATTTAGTTTTGAAGAACGAAGATATTTCATTCAGTTGTCCAGTTAACCTAAACACTCATACTGTTTTAGTTAGCTACTTCAAATGCCGAAACTGTGTCAAGCGAGTTCTCCTTCCAGGTGCCGCAATGTACAAAGATTTGGCACTTTTATCTGCACGGTTATCAAAGTAGCTCAATTCACCAGCCACAACTTGCATTTCCGAGGGCCACAACAACAGATCAATGAATCGCATAAGATAGACTTTGATTCGATACAGCCACCAAAGTGCGAATCATTAAGGAACATAAGAGATCTGCTTCATCCAAACGTAACAGCTTAATGAATTTTGAAGCGTTGTTCACTGACCTGCACTTTTAAAAAGTAAGTCGAAATACACGCATGTCCAAATACAGATTAACTGAAAATCGATTGCATAGATGAATATATTATCGTTTATTTTTGAAGAGCATGGTCACAGACATAAAGAGTGAGTGCAAGCGAAGAATGCGAAAGGATTACTGGATAATATGAGATAAGAGAGAGAAACGTCTCATTCGTAGTCACGCTACCAACAGTTCCAGTCAGAAAAGTTGAATCCCAGCGTATGTTTAAAGACCAACAACCAAAGAAAGGACAAATAATACTGAATGCTCTTCAAGACGCGGTAAGCGCTAGCACAGTCAAGACGCGCACATTAGGAAAAATACTCCTCATACTGGGTCTGGTATGAGATTAAATGGCAAGAATGTACATTCAACGTCATGTGCCACGCATAAAATTATCGTAAGTACGCAGAGAACCCACAATGGCTAGCAAACACAAGTAACTGACTGTGATCTTAGGAAGTCCCAGTCCAATAACAGCCTTGGCGGATTGAGGAAAGCAGATCCCTTGATAAGAGATGATTATCAGTTGGTCGACCAAGAAATCGACGTCGAAAAAAACTGCTCCTGGCGAAATATAAGCCACTCTAAAGCTTTGAATTGATTGCACGTGTATTTTACTATTTTACCAAATTTTGAGTGCGTCACGATTTGGCGAAGCAAATTCGCTACAATGTTGTTTACCAGTTTTTGAGTTTTCAGGTACTTATCTTATAATATTTGGACATATTTTACATCTGCTTTCACAGGGTGTGTCCATACTCATAATATGTTCAAGTCGCTAAGTATTCCTGCATAGGTTTGTTCTCCATCCGTGGCAATTATTTGCGTTGTACAGCCATGTTTTGGGCTTCCTCTAAAACCAATTACATTCTTCTCTGAATTGAAGATGAGGAACAAACAAAAGCGATACAGCTAGACCGTCCTGCACGAGAATTGCTCATATGGTCCATCTTAGTTGGAAAGCTACGAATGGCCGAATTGTTTTGGACAATGGAAAAGGTGAGTCATTCTGGGCGCCCTCAAGACCCAATATTACTTGTTCATACGATCATTAAAATGCCCGCTGATAAGCTAAGTTCATTCTGCTGACACCGCAAGGCCAAGATGCACAGTTGATCTCATTGGGTTATGTTCGGAAAGCCTAAACAATGCGTCGTGCAAGTAGTTATCCTTAAACACAAATTATGATATTACAGGCTGGTAACTTCATTATTGGTAATGGCGTCTTTGCAATAAAAAATGAAATATGGTTGACTGAAATGCAGTCCACTACAAGTGACAATAAGGGACCATTTGACAGCCAATGCTCCAATACGAAATCGCTGCGCCATTTCCTACAATCTGACGTCTACAGAAGACTGATGGAGGAAATGTTGCAAATGATCCACAACTGGGACAAAAAAAGTCGTGCGGTGATACTTTACTGCCCAGTTCATACCGTCTAAAAATTAAACACAATGAAAATCATTAGAGAAACTAACACTGACCTCTATCTTATGGCAACTAACCACTGAAAAGTGACTCATCTAATATATACCTTCAGTATAAGAAGAGTCTTTGATTGACGGAAACTTTTTCCAACGTTAAATTCAGGCATTGGTGCAGGCATGCTAACCCTTTTTTGTGGTTAGTTGAATGACGCTATACATTGAGTTCTCTGAAGAAATTTTAGAAGTTGATAAACAGCATTCACATATTATAGAGTAAATCCACGTGTGTCGCGCCCTCAAAGCAATCATTTTGACCAGGTCAATGTGAACGATATGTTACCAAACAATCAAGCAAATGCAAATAAAATCAATCCGAAGGGTAACATTCTCACCTTGGGACGTATGTGGTCAGCGTATACAAAGGATCCATGGCAACTTTATGAACCCTATCGCGACAGACCGCTCACGGCAACATATAATTATACTCGCAGGACTGAATCACCATCGCATCAGGTATGCTTAGTAAGTAGTCGCTGTTTTAACATTTAGGACTTATCAACACTTCTCGGGTTGTGGACACCCTGTGCAGTCGAGACAACAGGCTAATCAAAAGTCAGACATTCCACAGCCAGAAATGATGTGTGGGGTATGATACGCGCTAAATGAAGCGCGTTTGCTGCCGTGCTCACACAGGTCACCGACCTGTATACAGTCCTACACGTTTTGTGAGCGATTCACTGTTAAATGGCCGACGGTACGCCCTTGTCGGTGTACTCTATCCATATTTCATTCAGTTTTACCTCTGAGACTTACTCGACGCCAATCAAAACTGATCTACGAATGACAGTGCCGGGAAGTGCAACAAGGCAAAATCCATCACTGAAATTTTCCCCTTTGGAATGGGAATAACAAGCTAGCTTCAGTTCAGGACCTAATCAGTGCGCGATCGGTGTTAAGAGGTTTACCTAGCTCATCGAACCGATAAGCAACCACCTGATTAAAGACCGCTAATATATCGATTTCTCAACAAACCCGAGTTCCTCGTTCAGAATATTTCCAAATGAATGTTGTGCACAAAGCCGTTTCATGTGTCGGATTACTTTTCGTCATATATCCTCATATGTTCAGGTGGATATTAGATGTGATATTATCTAAGGGAATTCCAAGACTTGGCTTATTTAAAGGTTCTCATGAAAGGAGAGACTGGTAGTTTACTACCAAGGGCTTCCAGCTAACTTAAGAGTAGCGTCATATGAAGTAAAATGCTTCGATATTCTAAATATCGTCCCAGGTGAAACAACAGATGGACCATATGTGGCAGTTTGAGTTTTCGATGGTCTAACTAGATTTTAGTTGATTTTCTGGTTAAAACCAAATTGGTTTCCAAGTGAGCAAATATCTTTACAGATCACTGCTCGTCGGTTGGAATTTGCTTTCAACATGAGTGCACTATTATAAGCTGTTTAAGGGTGATGCTGATTTGTAGATTTTACAAACAAAGGAGTCTCTCAGAAATGCCTTAAAGATCATGCAATATGAATTCAATTGAAAACGCGTTGTGTTTATCAAATGAGCACCGCCTTTTTGTATTATTATATGACACTCCCCTCAACAGCCTTCGTAAGGCAATTCTTCTCCTGTGTTGGATTCGCTATCTCATCAGGGTTTTGGCCTAGAACACAAAAACGCCAAATGTGCATTCATCAAAGTTGTGTGCAAAAGCGTTTTTACACCCAGCTATTCTGCTAAAATATAAAGGAGAGATAAATAAACAATATATCATAATCAATGATGCAAGGATCTTGGAGGTATGTTCTTGTGAATGTATGCCAACTTTGACCGCAGCGTGAAGTCGCAGTGTTCGAGAAGGATGTTATCCCACAGCATTACGAGCAGCAAAGTGTAGTGTAATATCTCCTTTGTGCCAAAAAAGATCTTTTTATTAAGTTTCAAACTGTGGTGAGTGACGCTATATAATATTATTGATTCAAAAGCTATTGTTTAAATCTGTTGACGTGGAGCCTTTTTTTCATTTGAGGAACCGATTGCGGCAGCCTTGCTTGCTTCGATTCTCTTGACTTCCCTGGGGAACAAGACGGATGACTTTACTGATAAGGAAGACTACCGAAGTTTTGCCAAGTAAGTCAGAATAGTTGGGGATAATGTGACTGGCTTATCCACAAATTACAAAATGATCTGATTAGTCCGTACTACCCAAAGGTCTCACACTAGTTTTTCGCAGACACTTGAGAAATGAACAAGAAACAAATTTAGGAACTAGTCTGATCCAGCGAACTCATTTCTAATTATATGATTGAATTATTCCCGCTAGACACTCGAAAGAGATGTTGTTTTGATGTTGGACCCACGATTAGCAAGTATCTTAAGTGCAACCATTACAATGTGCGGGCTTGTATCGGTACGTGGTGGGGCAAATATCGTTCAAGAGATTCTTGACCAAAGAGTGAAATAAATTGAGTGGAAGAAAGTAGCTTTCCAAGACAATAATAAAAAATAATAACGTTTAGCTGTAACATTTGCTGTCTAGCTGCCATGCCACCCGAAGGAGGCTCGAGAGCTGGAATAGTGCCATGTTGTCCGCACCTAGAACGAAGTCGAGATTTAGAGGTCGGATTCAAACCACTGACCTTCCGATTAGTATATTCGCGCTTTGACTACTGAGATAATGTTTTCTTGTCATGATGAAACCGTTTTTATAACAACCTGCCTCACCAACGTTAGACTATTGTGATTTAGCGTGTCGTGGTTTGGCAAAAAATGCATTTTGACATAAGCTAATCAAGTAAACTTGAAATGCATCAGCAACGAACAGTTCTTGAACGACGGGAAAAATGCGCAATAATTATTCACTAATCCAAGACTTTCTGAAACCTATGACAACCATTCAGAACCCTACGAAGCAGCCGCTGCCTGTATTGGATTTGTGGAAAGTTGTTCCGAATAACACACAACTAAACGCCATATCTTATTGCTTATCATTCGTCATCGGCGCTCGATAAAAGAATGTCAGCTTAGTTTGTGAAACACAATTAATGTAAATTGCAGACCAGCATCGCCAAAAGGGACCAGGAAACTTTTAGCTGTTCTCGAATGAGGCCTATTTTGAGATCACAAAGTGATCACTGGGGTAAAATGACCCTCTTCAACTTTTGTGTAGCTATACGTAGCTACAACGTTATTGTCTCACATTGATGCGTCCGTCTCAATATAAGTTCTCTTCTGGTTGTGGTTGATCATATCTATGCTGAGTATAGCGAGCAATTTTTCTGTCGTAATCCTTATTCAGGTAGGCGTGCAAAAATGTGGCTGGGTAGTTCGTTAAATATTAACTTCATTAGGTGGATGTCTGTCTATCTGAGCGTAGTTTGAAAAAGTTGGTTCGGGTTGTTTTGCCCAAGGCAACCGGAAGAAGTGAGGCCAGTTCGTGTGATCATCGACTTGGTAGCTTTATGTTTGGAACCTGTCAACGTATGCTTTATAAGTAGCCTGTGTGATTTCATATCTGAAATCACGCAGATGACATATAAACCTTGTTTTGTTTTTATAAATGGACAAACCACAAGCCAATGATTTAGTATTGGTTACCTTATTCAAGCTGAACCGCACATGATGGCTATTGTTCAGAACAACTAAACAGCACAAATACAGTCTAAACTGACCTCTACACTGGGCAAATGCATTAGGCTTTACTTGAAAAACTTGATTTGAATCGGCCAGAAGGCCTTATCTTTGCTTCTGATTGACATCACTTAACAGAAGTTTTTTTCTGTAAACCATTGCTTAGAATTTTGGTCGTAAGAGTTTGGTATTTAGCATATACCAAGTCAGAGAGTTTCCAGTAGCTTCGTCCATTCTGTTTTGAGTTGGACAACCTGGAAATTGGCTTACAAACCGAATAAATCTCCTGGATAGGGCACCCTACTTTTAAAAAAAGGTTGGAAATAAACCATTTGTCTCAAATTTTATTTTTAATTTTCCAATTTTCGGATGCTGGAGAGTGTTCACTATTATTTGGAACTTGGATGTCCGTTTAATAAGTGTCTAGTCGAATATGCTAACAACTACTGGAAAAGATTTTTATGCGTGTTTCCGATTTGTCCATAAGCTGCATCATAATTCACCAATAAGCCGAGTGCTGTTGCACAAGTTATTTTTATTTTCATTGTGCAACACAGTTGGGCAACAAACGGTTAAAAATGTACATATCCTCGAAAAACGCTAGTAATAATTCCTATTGAAAATTCGAGCAGCATTTCCATGCTCTGGTGGGAGGAGCTGATTTCAGTTTATTCCATGTAAGTTACCGATGGTGCGGAAAATCACAGTTTAAGGTACTTCTCATACAACGCGAGACAGGAATGTTTTTTAAGGACAGCCCACCAAAAACCATGGTCTATTCTGCCAGTACTCCAAACAGAGGCCAACAGTGTGATCGAATACAGGTTTTACTCAGTACTGTTTCTTGGATAATGAACATAATGTATCCTACTATAGTGGCTCCCTGACTAAACTCGTGAGCACGCGGCGCTAGCGTTTTGAGTCCCGAATAGGTTTTTATATGATCAGTAATAAGTTCCACAATTTTAGATATGCATGAGCCACGCAGGGACAGTTTAGACTGTAAGTTGACCTCCTTAAAACCATTTTGCTTACAGCACACACTGATATGAGCACTGTCCTCTTGGTTATCGGTGAGCCATTTATGCTCGTGACCACTTCCGCTAACCAGGATTTGACTCTACACGAACTTTTTATACTCATTGGTGATCCCCGCAGAGCATTTAGAGTCGCTTTAGAAGTATGAACGAGATAACTTCACACAACCCTCGCTTCTCTTCAGGTGATATCAGCTAACTTATAAGTTTCCTACGATAAACAGATTCTGTGCAACTAGGTGTCTCTGAATATATTATCCTTAGACGCATTGTCCAAGAAAAGGAGAGAAAAAATTTGAATAAGGAGGTTTGAAAGACCTCTGACCGTTGAGTTGCGCCAAGAAATCGAAATGTCCAGTGAAATACAACAACAAAAAACCTTAAGAACGATACCACCCTTAGTTGGTTCAGTTCAGTCAAGTCAAACATGGAACGTTTTGCACACTGCTGGTCCCCGTTATCTATCGTCGGAACTCAAAACGAACCTAGGTGTAGATCAGACCGACGCTGTCGAGTTGCTTTAATCCGTAGATCCAATGAATCGGGAAGCAGTATTATTGTAGCATATGGTTAGGTTCTCAAACAACCAGTAAAACGGGCTTCATTTGCAAATGCAGATAAACAAACGTTTGAACAGTCATCTTCCTGTCCCGGTGCAATCATTCTGGTTAGTTCACACCAGAAAGATTGACACTGGACCCGACTTTCACTCCTTTGTAGCTCATATGCATTAACATATAGTTGGTCGTGCTGAGGATTGAATTCTGCACATCCGACATGCAAGGCGAGTGTGTTATCAAATCTCCACAAGCGCAAGCTGGATGCATCCGAAAGCGGAGAATATGTTCACGCTTGAGTGATGTGAGTGATAATCCCGATGGCAACCCACTAACGTACCTTGGTTGTGTCAGTCTATTGACCCGCCTGACTTCCCATTCGGGTAACGCCGCAGACATTTGATACTTAACTGGCACCTAATTGGTTAGTTGTAAGTTGTTACAACATTTGTGGGGTGCACCGAAAAGCACCATCTTCCAAAGTTGGGACGTATTTTGTTTAATGTGACAACTGATCTGGTACCAGGTATTACACAATTCGAACGTCTCTCCTCCAAACTTCATGATCACACGTAGAATATTGTTGATACAGGGATATTTGTGTCCGAGAATATCACCGATCAGTTGTGCTACACAAGTGTAACAAATAAAATTCTAACGATGCAACTTATAAGGAAACCGCGGTAGATTGCTGCATCGATAGTGCACCATATGCATCCCCGTGACTACATATGAACGCCGAAGAATATGTACGACGGCCGACTGACACACTTTACATGTTCAGCCGAAAGAAATATAAATAAAGAGTAGCTGTGATACTTTGAAACCAAACATCGTCAACATTTAAATAAAAGTGATTAGTCAACTAAGCTAGTACCTGGGCAATTTGGAGACTAACCACGATTCCGGTTACAAACAATGAGCAGAGACCAGGATGCAATCCGCGTGGCTCAGTGTTTGATAGAAGTGAGCACAACTAAATTTGTATGATTTTTCTCTTCCCTAGAATGATCGCTCCAAGGGAACAACTGAAAGGGGTAGCGGTGTATCCGAGGAATGCAAAAACCACCCATAAAGTCAAAAAAATGAACAACACACTTAGTTGAGGAAATATGCTTTGGTGCTCATCTAAATACACTGTTTTCGGCATACAGCTTTTCGAAGTTTAAACAAATGTGGATTTTGCCCGGAATCTGATCATGATTCTATGGCTGATGGATTATGTCTACCTTTCCAGCGGCCTCCAGTGGGGATTCGTTACTTATTGAACCACAGATGTGAACCTAACTAGTGGTAACCAGAAAAACTAGACCCCCCTTTGAGTTGTCTATTCACCAAAACCCATTTTTACCGATTAAGCCGTTTTGTTTTCTACTCCTAAACTTTTACCTCACAGTTCTTAATTCAGTCAAGCTAAAAAACTGAGCTGAAATCTTCACTGACCCTGGAAAGGTTTGCGAACACTTTAGAGGTGACATCATCCACGCAAAGTAATTTATTACTGTGTCTTGTTCCAGGCGTGTGAAAGGTAAATGAGTTTTCATTCTTGGGTGTCTATATGTCTGAAGAGGTTCCGTTAACTGGCGGCGACGTTTCACTTTCATTGATCTTTTTGATAGGCGGTTCAATGGTTCCTAGCTTGCAACGGGTTCTTGTTTGTTTCAACTAGAATACGGATTAATGGGCCCCTGTTAGCCTCAAGAAAGCACGATCTGCTGTCTCTGGTGCCTATGCAATAAAATTTAGTCCATTAATAAAAACTGAAAATAGACTTCATGGCACCTGAAGGCACAAGGGAAACAAGAGGTTGCTTAAAGCACGGTTCCCTAAAACCCAGTTTACACGTACTTCCGGGCAAAAGGTCGTCAAGTAAACAGGCGAATCTAAACAGAGCCGAAAACAGAAAAAGCAGAGCGTTGGACATTATCACCCGTGGAATCCACAGAGCACGACTAAAGAAATCAGACTCAAAACCACCTCGATTCCAACCAACCAAAAGGCGGTCTAATCAATCAACCACATTTGAATGGCCGCTTGTAATCAAGACCACGGCTGACTTCAACTGCGACACCGTTCAATGCCCATACAGCTCTTAACCATAGCATCCGCACACGTCATACACTGATCTTGCCAGCTCGACATCTGACAAGACGTTTTCAACGATACTGACAACTCCAGCAAACGATTCATTCATCAAATTATTAACATGATCGACCAATTCCCTTTTCAAAATCAAAGTCGTTAAAGTGATTCCTCGAAAGAAATTCGGAATGTAATTGCTGTGATATAATACGACGTAGCCTCCCTACAGCAGCTGATAAAGAAACTTGCTGGAATAAAAAAACCTAGGTCTTGTACACTACCAAGAATTTTACATCCGTTTGCGGGGTGGGAACGAATTTCACCAGGCTTTGCAAGCAGTTACTTAGGCTATCCTTCTGTAATTCTGATGAATGTGTGATCAGTTCTCCCGCGGACTGTTCGTTTTGCAGGCACACTGTAAAGCGGACTTGGTGTAGCACCGAACAGTGCCTGCCATAAGAGAACAAAAGTGTCTAGGGCACTGTAATTTATCACGACGCAGGATCCTTCGTCTGACGCAATCCATCAAGGATGAATCAGGAAGGTTTAAATAAGAAACCCCGATTTTTACCACCCGGCAAATTTCTGTCCTGAAGACAGAAGAAATGTGTACATCTACATCTTTTTGAATTTACTAAGTAACTCCTTTGACAACGTAAGTTACGTATGAAATATTCGGTAATAGGTATTACGCTAATATGTTTAAATCGAGTCAGTACAATTTCACAGTCATCCACATATTGGATTCAAAGCAACCGGTTTCAATGTTCATCTAGCCTAAATTATGACACATTCAGGTCTTTTAGTCCTCTAAGCAGTAGGGAGGGGAAGATTCGTGTAAGCAGGAAAACTATTCATGCACATCCTGGTTACTAGTTTGAAACTCTGACATACTGTCCTCATGCATAATTCTATATGTGAAAGGAAGCATACCAGTTAGCGTTAGGTTGTCAAGGTAGTGGTCTGAGACAATCGTTTTCTCACAGCACGTAGTCGATGTTGGGTGAGAGAATGACTGGTTACCATAGGTTCCATTTGTTGCTGAGAGAGTGAGAGAGATAAAACATTTTATTTTCCTAAAGACGAAAGTGTCTGAGTGACCCATGATCATGATAGCAGCATAGTAGAAATGCATGCTAGTTCATTGTGAAGATGGATAGGAATGCGATTTTTATGTTCGTTGAGATAACAAACTCTTTGATGAGACCAACCAGCTCAGCGGCTTGTTGCCAATAGCAATAGGCGTTCACCGCAGTGTCGAGTTATGAGGCAGCCTACCTTCTGAGTGGAAATCAGATCATAGACTGTGTTCACAACGAACATCCTAATCACCAAAAAAAGGAGTTTAGTTAAAAATCGATCGCCAGATCGACGGTGAAATGCCAGACTGAGTAATAGTTGTGCTAGCTTCCTTTCCGATCATTAAGTTGAGTTATTTCGCTTAGGTAACCTGTATGTCTACAGGTTATGTACACACATAGCCAAGATATACTCCGAAAAACATCAGGAGCTGCGACATTATATATATATATATATATATATATATATATATATATTCAGCTGTAGCACCCTTTCGGTGCCTATCTGCCACGCCACACGATGGCTGCACGAGGGCTGGGATACTGCCAGGTCGCCCAAGC